GTGACAGCTGCCATCCATTTGGAGCTCAAGTCTGGACTGCAGTCTTCTGGGAAGACCTGGCCATAGACTTTCTGTTACAGAGTCCTAAACTCTTTCATTGAAATCTAATTATCCAAACAGCATACCCTTAGCTATGAAAGTTTTCTAAGTTTTTGTCATTAAATTGCAATGTTTTCCTAATAAGGAAAAGAGACGAAAGAAAACACAACGTTTCGGCTGTGGAGCCTTCTTCAGGTGAACAAATGCTTTCCAAATGTCCATCACTGAGTGTATAAATATTATTGTTCTTGCTGAAACAGATTCCTTTTGACAGAAATAATCATTTTGCAAGGTTATGTCACCAACATTAAAGTGAAATAGAAATTGGAGTATACAGTAATTATAAGAAAACTTTTTGTTACAAATACTTTGTAGAACACTTCAGGGCTGTGTACTGTACGAAGCCAAATTAAGTTCAAACCTTTAGAATCTAAAATCTATTAGAATTAGAATCTAGATGCTGTTCAAGGACTAGGGAGTATTCTGGATGTTCTATCCACAGAAGGTGATATAGGCGTTCAGCCTATACTTTGCATATATTTTATGTTTTAAAAACTTGTCTCTCCATTGCTAGGGACTGGAACCCCTCCAGGGTGTATTCTGTCTTGTGCCTGTTGCTTGCAGGCTCTGGCTCCCTTGCAACTCTGTATTGGATAAAACAGTTACAAAATGGATAGATGAAAGTTGCCTCTCTCATAATTGCTGTTCCCTAGTTCTTTTTCCAAGCCCCCAACACTTGCTTTCAATGAAATAAATCTATTTTTATTTCTTTTTTAACACTATGATGAATAATACATGAGCAGCAATTGTAAGACAGAAGCACATAGTAGTACTTTCTGAGATGTGTTTATTAAGCTGGTTTCGTCTGTGTAGGTGGATTACAGATGGAAATTGGATAAGAGAATGGCCTGACATGTAAGAGTGAGCCCCCCAGGTACACTTAAAATCTATCACCTGACACACTGACAATAGGTTCAAACATGGGCAAAAGCTTTTTTTTCATTAAATTATTTTTTCACGTACTCTAGATTGAAATGGAAGTACTGTGTAAGTGTTATAGTTGAAATCAAATCAATAGAAAACATCAGTGGGACAGTATAATCAAGCTCCTTTAGAAATACCAGTTGAGTTGAATATCGACAGCACTTTGAAAGTGTATGAGTCATCTCATCTCAGCATAATATTTTTTTCTCTCTTTCAGTAACTGAATACATTGGCCTTCTTTTTTTGTGTATATATGACAATTTGGCTAGTTTAAACACCAATTGACATAACTAATAACAGCCCATGCATGTTCTCTGTAAAATAAATCACATTAATAAATTAACATAATTTATGTCAAATATCAAACAGATAACAATGTCTTACTGTGCAATTAATAAATAGCATAATACATAAGCTCCATAGCTGAAATGTGCTTCTTTTCTTCTCTTTTCAGAAACCTTTACTTCTTCCATAATATAATAGTTTCTTGACCCACAAAAATGTAAAATAAAATGATTACGTAATACAAATTTAACTTTTTCCCATGATTGCGTTGCCTCTGAAAACAGTTTATGGATTTCAGAATGTTAAATAAGTTCAGTTTGTAGTCACCTACAGTATCTCTTTATCTGTATCAACCTCTTAGAGGCACATGGCTGCAGTGCCACATGTTGCACTGTATTGGGCTCAGGACGCTGAAGAATCTTGCCTTCACATCTGGAGCCCCAGATGTTCCAAGGATACTGTGGGTCCTGATTGAAGAGCCCTCAGCAGAGGCAGGAAGGATCTGTGTGTTTGCAACACTGAACTGTTTAGTTATTACTGTGGTGTGTTTATTACTAGAAAGTACAGTATGTATGTACAGTATAAATGAGATACATTTACTTCTCAAGTTTTTAAAGACCTTGATCTTTTTACCATGTGGAAAACCTGCAATGTTTTATTACCTTGGACATCTGTGGTGCTTGAGGAATTGATTTACTCCCCACTTTTTAAATTTACAGTGCCCTCCAAAAGTACTGGGGCAGTGAAACTCTAAACTGGGATTTTCACTATGAATTGTAATTGGAAATTCTCATAAAAATACCACTGATAACTACAAGTTGTAGGTTTTATTTTTGATTAAGCTACTTTATTTCTATGACCCTATGGTCAATTAAATAGTTTTGAATGTCTTTATTGCAGTATGAAGGCGAAAAAAGCATTGGGAAAATTGGCTGACAGGTGTTTGTTGTTGGGTAATTAGTCACTCATAAAAGAGGTGTGGACATTCTCTCAGCCTGCCTCCCCTGAAGTCTTTTTAAAACACTTTTTTTGTTCTATCTGAAACTGATAGAAAATACAACTGTAATCAGAACAATAGTACAGTAACTGGGCAAGCCCTAATCATCTATTTGGAATATAATGAAGAACCATGAAAACACAGACATAACTACCAATTAACTAAGACCAAACCATCATACACAACAATATCTGCAATGGATGATAGAAAATGTATCAGAGCTGTAAAGGAAAAGCTTAAAACAACTGTCAGTGAAATCACAACAACCTTCAGAGTGCTTGGGTGAAAGTATCAAAATCCACCATTTCAGAAGGCTGAGATGCAGCAGAAGACTCTATGCACAGATAGGACCAAATTAAAGCTTTATCAAAGTGATGGAAAAGTTAAAGTGTGGGGAAAAAAGAAACTAGCACCAACACACCAATGAAGCACGGTGCTGGTAATGTCATGTCCTGGGCCCATACAGTATGCCAACCTCTGAAACTGGCTCCCTCCTCTTTGTCAATGATGTAACTTTTTATAGCAGCAGAATAAATTCTGAAGTTTACAGGAACATTTTGTCTACTTATGTACAGTAGTACCTACTGGGCTGTGCTTTACTGTGCAGTATAACAATGACTTATAGTTGTTTATCGATAGGAAAGAAATGGAAAATCTTAGAATGACCAGGTCAATATCCAGACTTTAGTGAATTCAGTGAGTCAGTGACATCATAACGTTATTGCCTCAAAGGGATATACAACCAAATACAGTCTTTTCTACACTGAAAGTACTGGAACTGAATGTGTCTCAGACTCTTCTCAAAAACATTACCAAACATTTCTCAAATTCATAGATCACTTTGACCCTCAGTCAGTTGCTTCCTTCTCACTTCTCTCTGCTGATGTTGCAATGAACAAGATTTGCCCTCAGTCCTCCAGACAGCAGATATGACCAACCGTTGAAAGCCTCTGATTCCTGCTTTTTTTAACTCTAACCTGACCGGTCATCATCCACTAACTAGCCAAGCGACCAAAGGCTGCAGTTTATTATCCACAGCTTCTTGGGGAAATTTGTCTGGATAAGGGCTGCCATCTTCCCTGGACCTGTTTTATCTGATTATACCACCCTGCAACTCACAACTGGCAGCCCACTGAATCTCAGTAGATGTGAGCCTGGCTAGTACCTGGATGGGAGACTCCTGGGAAAGCTAAGGTTGCTACTTTAAGGGGTGTAAGTGGGACGAGTAGGGAGCTCTCACCCTGAGGGTGTGGGTCTTTATGCCCCAGAATAGTGATGGGGACACAATACAGTAAAAAAGTGCCGTCTTTCGGATGGGACATAAAACTGAGGTCCTGACTCTCTGTGGTCATTCGAAATTCCAGGGTGTTTTTCAAAAACAGTGAGGGTGTTACCCCATTATCACATTCAAATTTCCCAATGGCCTTTAACAATCATGTCCGTATAATAATCCCCATCTCTGAACTAGCTTTATCACTCTGTTCTCCTCTCCACTTACAGTATAGAGGATGTGTGTTTAGCATACAAAGGTTCATTTATACAATGCAAAAAAAGGGGGCTAAAATTTTTCATTTACTTCCTGGAAAATTATTTTCATATTTATTCAAAGACTAGGAAAACTTTAAAGCTCATAATGTGTCTAGTGGACTTAATATTTTAATATCCAGCAGAGGAATCCAGTTTGGATCATACGTACGGTATACTGTTTCCTTTCCTACCATGATTTGGTTAGATTTTCTTATAATGTAAGGGCCTATTGTGAGATATGGCCATGTTATTCTGTTGCTGTGCTGTGTGGCTATGTAAGTATAAATAATCAAGGGTTCCCAATGAATCTGCTGTTCCTTTAGTGGCTGTGTTGTCCACAGTAAACTCAATAAGCTTACTGTAGCTAAATTAGTTAAATGAGTGTACTGACTTTCATAAAATTAATGCTTTTTTTCTTTAAAACAATGGCTTTTATTTTCACCACTGAGCAAAATATAGAGGGGGAGATTTTGGATATATTTTACAGACGTGTACTGTAGCTGATAAACACAATTCTTTATTGAAAACCAAACTATTATTCATATTATCGTCGGATGGTATTTATAATATCTATCAAACAGAAACATCACATTGAAAACACATAATTCAGACGCAGTATAAAAGTCCAAGACATAATCCCTTAAAATGTTGCTGCTCTGTGTAATATCTCTGTCATATCACAAGTCTGAGAAATGTTCTGTAATATAATGATGGTAGTATGGTGTGTAGTCTCAATGCTGAGATCCTCTTATCAACAAGCTCTTAGCAACCATACTGGAATAATCTGTCCATTCTAAAGTTCCCCTTAATTGAATTGGTGAAGCAATTCTCAATTATCTACCAGCTTTTCTGTATAGTGTGGCTGTTAGTGCATAATGTCTGCTGCCCATCAGTCAGGTGTTTGGTGCACTTCAGAAGGGGAAGAAGTTGGTACCCTCTTATCTTTAAAGTGGTGTTGGACCTTATGAAAGGTGGTCTATAAATTAAAAAGTAAAGAATAACAGATGAGTAAATCTGCCAAAATGGCCACTTATTGTTTGTAACCTTTATGTTGTCATGAGTGAAAATATTGTATTTACTATGCAAACGACTATACAAATGAACAGTAAAATAAGGTACTGTACCCACCCACCCTTTTCCAAATAAGTTAATGGTGTTTCCCTGCAAACACCATACCATACTACACATCGTTTTTAATCTTTTCATTCATGTGAAAATAAAGACCTCGAACATTGTATTTTAGATAGGAACTACGATTCAGGTCAGTTGTAGCATTTTCATTTTTTAAAGATTTGTTTTTACCCTCCGCGATGATAGTAGCGCTTATTAGTCAGAGGTATTAATGAAGAACGATAAACGTTGTTCTAATTACCGAATCAGTAGTGTAAGGGTAGTGTTGTGGCTTAATCCAACAAAGTATATTCTCTGTTTCAATTTTGCCGTGGGACTACGCTGTAGGAAAAACGAAAAGGATTGAGTTTAAAATATCAGGTTTAATTTCGAACAGGGTGAGGGGATAAGTCGCTGACGAGAAATTCAAAATGTGTGCTGTTCTCTTTGCCCACTACAGCCAAGATGAGCAGCCGCTGCAGCTACGTGGCGCCAGTATCAGATGGCCCAGAAAGGCGGAAAGACAGCAAGGCGAGGCGGAGCAGGCAGTGCGGTACCGAGATAAACGCGACACGTCCTCGCGATCCACGTGGAACCTGTCATTGACCAAAACAGAGCTCCGCAGTGCAGAACACCGGGGTCGAGTCGGTAGCGAGTGCTGTTGCAATTCGTGTACAGTATTTCCCTGAGGCAGCGAAGAACACATATCTCGACCCAGCAGCCATCATGACACAAGGTACAAATGCACAATATCCGGCAAGTGAGCTATGGCTATTCTATGCTGCATGTTTTAGAAATATGGTAAATGGTTAAAGGTCTAACTTGGATTGCATCAGTTTTTATTAGTAACAGAAAAGGCTCATGTACGGTAACTGTACGGTATCTGTTTCTGTTGCATAGGCTACTGTACGGAATGTATTACTGTTGTACTGTATTGGAGCATTGTATAGTAAATGCATTCAATATGATTATCGGTAATACAAGAATAGTGTAAACGGTATAACATGTATGCCTGATCTATATGGTTAAATGTATTAAAATTTTACTTTCGTTTTCAATCTCTTTCCTATACTTGAAAATAAAAGGCATTCATTTACAACAAATGTTTTATTATCCTTTCTGTTGAAAAAAACGATTGAACAATAATCGGACAATATGCCAATAGTCATACGGCATATGAGCTGTGATATAATCTTCTCATTGAACTTAATATTCCAATTGCATTCATAATCATTTGTAATTACAATGGAAAATTGGCATTTTATCGCACTTGCAGGTTTCCGTGTATTTATATTAAGCTGCATACATGGATTTTCTTGCGTTTGTTTTAATCAATGTATGTGTCCGATGGACAGAAATAACAGGCTACTCCTTTAAGGAGTCAGCTCATCTTATTGTCACCTCTGAAGTGTACTCTGCGCGATCATTTGCACTGGATCCGCAGCCCGTTGTCAACCTGCAGCAACTCAGAGCGAAACCCGGATACCTTTTGAATTACTGCACAGTGTTGTTTCTAGGGCTGGCGTCGCGGGTCTGTGGACACAAGGAGGTGCTGAAGGCGACCGTAGTTTTGCTGCTTCTGATCTCACACCAGTGCCTAGCAGCGCCTCAGGTCTCTGCTTCTCAAAGGTAGGCGACTGGACTTGTTGTCACAAACAGTATTCCAGAAAGTTCTGTTTATGTGAAGCCGGGGGGATTTTAAAGGTATTTTTTTAGTACCAGCTGCCCTTGTGTTTGGAGAAAGAGTGGGTTTTACAATTAGAGTACTTGGCAAATAGAGTATCTAAAACTTTATGGTCTTTAGAGTAACGAACATACCCTGGACGAGAGAACACGGACAATAGCTCCTCTCAAAAACCTATTTAATGCCATCCTACTTCATTTTCTGTAGTGTAAATGTAAAATGTCGAGCTTTTCTTGGTTGTGATTTGGAGAATATGTAATGGAATAACACATAAAGTACTCGTATTACACACAGAAAATGTCCTGCACAGAATAATCTGATCAGCCAACTTCAGGTTCATAGAAGATAATTCGCTTCAACAATGAGTGATAACAAATGAAGAAAGCAATATATAGATAAAAGGGACAAATAGATATACACTATATAAAAATGGGGGGATACTAAAAACAAAAAAAAACTAAAAAACCCTGTTCATTTACTGTATGATACATGCATTTTGAAAGATTCCCAACATTCCATCTTATCAGAGGAATTTTACCTCTCCAAAAGACTAATGTCACTACAAATGGATTTTCATTCTTAAATTCCTAAAACTAAAGATATAAGGAAAACATAAAGATACTGTAAGTTGATTTTGAACTAAATATTTCATTTGAATGTCTCTGTCCCTTTTAGAATGGAACATATAAAACAAATATCTGTTAAGACACCCAATAATTTTGTTTTGTATTTCATCTAATGTGGCAAATTGAGCAAATTATTGTACTTCACGTTAACACCCTCATCCACAAGAAAAATATTTAAAAAAATATAATTTTCACCACAGAAACGTGAACTTTATATACAGTATTATGTATGCTACCTGTATTATGTTTGTATTCATGAAAGAATACTGTATTTGATGTACAGCATGTTTCCTTTTCTAAAAACTGATCAACAGGCAAGGCAAGGATCAAAGGTTCATTTAAGCCCCAGAAAAAAAGTGTTCATACATATTCAAAGGTTGGAGCAGAATTACAAATCATTGTAAAGAAACAGAAGCAGTAACTTGTTAAAGCAGGTTATTTTATTCACAGAGTTTTGTCCTTTTTTTAAAGTAATGGATGATAAAGTTTTCACTTCAGTAGTCTACTTTAATATAGTATACCTGGTAATGTACAAATATAAAAAAAAACTTTTACTGCAGCTTATATTAGTTACCTTGTTTCACAATAACAAGTTATGACAGGATCTGGAATGTTTAACACAGGCTAGGAAGGTCAAACCCTGACCTCTCTCTTTTCCTCTCACCTACATGTACTGTAACTATCTTGATTCTGGAGCACCCCCTCGTGCATCATGGGCTGAATGGCTTAATTATTTTTTTTAACCTTTCTTATGTCCTTAATTTAATCTCATATCTCTCCCTATTCTCCATAATCACTCGGGCAGCAGCTTGTATGCTTCTCTTAAATGAAAGGAGGAGTAATCCTCATCCTTGTGTTCAGGTTGTCATTCTCACATTCTCAGGCAAGTTATGCAAACAGAATTCATCCTATGCCTTCCCATCTGTGCAGATCAGGGAATTCCCTCGGACATCTGCAGCATAATTGATGTTCAGAGCCTTTGCTTTTCCATTCTTAAGGCAAAAACTGGCACTGCATTTGGTAACCAAATCTGTCCATATCTTTCCCCAGGGCAGATGCAGAGTTGGGAGAAAAGTCTCCATCTTTAACTATGACAAATCCGTTTGGCTCTGGAGAAGAAGAGCGCAGGTAAAACTTGCTTTCTCTCTTACATGACCTAAAAAAATTCTTAGTGTAGTTGTGCAATCTTGCATTATTAATTTTTGCCTCCAAAACCAGAATAAAACTACCGTACTATTTGTTCAGCTATCATGTGTTATACCCTATATCCTATGGTTGAAATGAAAAAAAAGCTTATTTAATGTCTGTTATCTTCCCCAAAAATAACCTAGTTTGTCTTAAGCACAAAAGCCTGAAATGGATTTCTGCCTGGCACAAAAATGATGGATTGATAGAAGATAATGACACCACATTCACTGTCATGAAATGTGTAACCCCTATCACCATTGAAGCTTTGCAAAATATATGTGAAAAAATGAAATTAATAAATTGTAAAGTAAAATAGTTACTTCACGCATGAAGCTCATTAAATTGCATTCACGGTGGGGTCGGATAATGTAACACATTACTGTAAATTCAACTAGTCAGTTTTGAAGTGTCTTCAGATCTATAGTGATAACATGGTAAAGTGGCTGATAGCTATAATCATGTTGTTGCTTTCTCGGACAGGTTACTCAAGATGTACATTAATAGTAATTTGAAGGAAGTACAAGGGAGTCCTGATCACATGACATGGGAACAAGGTAAACAGCAACAAATATCACTGCCTATTGTTTTGGGGTTTTTTGAGTCCCACAATATTCAGATTTTTTTTAGCTATACATTCTTCCTCTTTCAAAAATAATTTGTATATTGGAATGATAAGGGTAAAAAATTGTAGAGTATACTTATGGAAAGGGACACAGATCTGATGACACTGAGTTGACGTGAGTGATAAGCAATTTAAGATCTCCCACAATATAGTTGAAAAAACCTTGCAAAGGTTACACCCAAGCAACATTTTGGTCCAATAAAGGATTTATTTAAGGAAATTGCACAACTGAAATGAAAACTAGCAGGTATTTAAATTCCCAAGAACATGATTGGGAACCTTAGATCTGTGGAGAATGTAATCTTTTGCTAAGATATTTGGAAGATTAGCATTTGCTCTCAGACGATAATCTAAATTATTTATTTTTTTGTTATTATGACACATCAGTTGGTATTTGACAACTGTCATTACAGTTCACCTTTACAATCCTTCTGCCAACACAGGAAAGAGGAAAACACGTGCCTTCCACCAAAGTGTTTTTCACATCATGCACCTTGAATGGAGCAGCATCCCACTCGATTGATGCTTTTGTCAGAGCCAGTCAAAGTGGTCAATCTTTCATAGCACGCTAAAGATATCCCAGCTGTTCCAGACCCCTCCAGTTTTGGCTGGGTTTGGGAATTATTTCGCAACAACTTGGAGATCCCTGATCACAATGACTCAATGACGATGTCTGAACCATAGGCCTCAAACTGTGGTCCATCAAAGTGCTTTCATCTGTAGAGCCACACAGGGTCAGATTGGAATATTTGTCTTTTCAATTCGAATCCAACATCTTTCGCTTTTATGTGCTTCTTAACTTAAATTCACTGTCTGATCACCTGGCTGTCCCTTTTCACTGCTTGGCCTTTAAATCTCTGTAGTACCAGAGAGTACCAGAGTGTTGAGCGCTTTTCGTATACGCAGTTGAAATTCAGTTTGATTCAATTCTGATATACTCTTTTACACGTGAAGTTTTATGCATTAAGACTACCACATAATTTGTATTTGAGAGATCACACTGTCAAATTATAATTGTTTTCAGCTTTAATTTAGTTTTGATAAGATTCTGCAAAGTAATTATTGTTGCTTTTGTGTCAGCACTCTATTGTGATAGAGCGCTTTGAATATATGCAATTTTATGGTGAAATTGTAGTAACACCAATTAAGCTGTTGTCAGCTCTTCTATAACACAGGAAATACTTGCTGTTGTTCATGTTTAATTCTTCTTTCTGTTAACAGAGATATTCTACTTGTTCTCTCTCCACGACTATGATAAAAGCGGAGAAATGGATGGATTGGAGCTCATGAAACTGCTGTCTGACTTCATTTCTCATCAGTCTCTGACACAGCAGTCATCAGAGTCTGTTAGTAGCACTTGAGTCTTTTGCGTCACAACAAAGGGCGAAAGTTTGTGTGAGCGTGGGAGTGTGACAAAACTCTTTTCATGTGTTTTATTGGAATTAACTTTTCAAATCATTTTAACTATGGTATAAAAGTGCAGTTATTTCCCCTTTTTCATATTCAGTTAGAAACCAACAAAGAAAAATACTGAAACTTCATCTTAATGTCTGGTAAGAAGTACCAGAGTATATCAGTTACACAAATATTCCTTCTTTAATTAAGTTTTCATTGTAATCTGGCATTTATTTGCTTCCCTCCTACACATCTGGGCAGTCAGTTCTTTCAAATAATTTGAGAAGTTGATACTGTCAATACAGTAGCTCTATGAGCCAGCAGCCATATAACCCTGCAGCTCTCAATGGGCTACCCACTGAAGGTAAGCAGCATTGAGTCTGGTCAGTACCTGAATGAGAGACCTCCTGGGAACCTATGGTTGCTGCTGGAAGAGGTGTTAGTAGGATCAGTGGGGGGTGCCCACCCTGCGGTCTGTGTGGGTCCTAAAACCGCGGTATAGTGGTGGGGACTATACCGGGGCGCGGTATATTGGGCGCTGTCTTTCAGATGAGACATTAAACTGAGGTCCTGACTCTCAGTGGTCATTAAAGATCCCTGGGCATTTCTAACAAGAGTAGGGAGTTATCCTGCTGTTTGGGCCAAATTTCCCCCCTCAGCCTTTACATGACATGAGTAGCTGTATGAACCACAGCAAATACAGAAGCAATGTAAAAAGTAAAACTTTACTCTATTGCATTATACAGTATGAAGCATGCTAGGGATGGAGTAACATATGATGTAATACATATGATATAATGTTTTGGTTAAATAATTGCAGAAAATGTTGTGAACAACAGTCGGAGAGCCCTGGACTCAATTCCAGACTTGGGTGTCTATGTTTCATGTCCTCCCCCTGTTTGCACTGGTTTTTACCAGGTATTCCTGTTTCCCTATCCTTCCAAAGAAATGGTAGATTAGAAAAAGTTCCCTATGGACTTAACTCCCACCCACTGGGAGAGCAATCAGGTGTTTGGAATGCTACCATGCATCCTGTAGAATTCAGAAAAGGCTCCGGTATCCTGTGACCATATCTAGGATTACTGAGCCGCTTACGGATCATGAATGCATAAAGTAATGCACCAAAATATTTTCGATGTTGCTCTGTTATCATTCATCTCCACTTTGGATTATAGATGCATTGCAGTTCTTTTTTGTTTTAATTTTTCAGATATTTGTCTAGCGCTGTATCCAACATCTGATGGTATTGTAGCTGACACACTGTGTTTATTATGTTATTGACAAAGATGGTTTTATTAGATTTGTGATCAAGACTGTCCCTGGGTTGAAATCTATTCCTCTTCACATACAATGTTATGTATGTACAGTTTGGGGACTTTGGGCACCTGAAACATAGTTTGGTGATGTTCAGAGGCAACAAAATGCAGTAGAAATTGAAAGCTTTTTTGGCTCCAAATATCCAAAGTCGTTATCCTTTCTGGTTACATATACAATACCCTCCATAAGTCAAAATGCCTATTTTTGCTGTATAGCCAAAGAATTCGAATTTGAGATGGAAAGAAAAAGTTACAGCTTTAGATCACAAACATAGATAAACCTCTACCCAAGTGAGGGCAAGTACAAGTATGGAGAAAGAAAAGAGCTGCAGATGATCCAAAGCACACCACTTCATCTGTGAAACATGGAGGTTGTGTCATGGCTTGGGCATGCAAGGCTGCCTCTAGAACTGGCTCACTCATTTTTATTCACGATGCTTCTAATTATTGTAGCAACGGAATGACTTCAGATGTACAGTACAGTATGTGAAAGAAAATGACTCCAGACACATTGGCCAGTGCTTCATCATGCAGCAAGATGAGTTCATCAGGAGGAAAAATGGGAAACTCTTAGACTGGCCAAGTCAATCTCCTGATTTAAGTCCAATCAAGCATGCATTACAGTTACTGAAAAGGAGACAGAAGTCAGAACCCCACAAAATAAACAGCAACTAAAAATGGCTGCAGTAAAGGCTTGGCAAAGCACCTCAAAAGAACAAAGAACACATAATTGATGCAGTTATTGCATACAGTACAAATGATTAGTGACAAAGTTCTCAGTTTTATACTACTTTTATTGAATTTAAGTTAATTTGTCCCAATAACATCTAAAATGGGGATGATGGAACACAAAAGGTGGTATTGTTCTAAAACATCAAAGCAAATACTCAGGAATAAAAGGTCAAATTTCTGTACTTTGCCTCATATTCATCTTTTCATGTCAAATCCAAATTGCTTGAGTTTACAACAAAATAGCAATTTTAATTTCACTGCCCCAGTACTTATGGAGGGCACTGTATGTCTTTATATAAATATGTTGACCAGGTTATGGAATCACATGTTACCTCTGTACGTAGTAACTCTCTTTCTATGGCTAATTTTGCGCTCATTGATTCACCTTTATAAGGTGAGCCTTTTTTAGTTTCATTGCAAGTGCGTGTGTAGTTACTCTCCTCCCCCTGTGTTTCCCAGGTGATCTCCATGGTGGACGTTCTTTTGCAGACCCAAGACCTCAATCAGGATGGAATGCTGAACCCTACGGAACTGCTGTCTCCCCCCATAGAGCATCGGTCAGCACCAGCTGATCAGCAGCCAAACCAGGTAGAGGCTGACACCGCTGCCCATGCTCCACCAGAGCAGGGAACCCAACCAGCATCGCTGCTGCAGTCAGAGGAGAGTGTGCCGCAGACAGGGCAATTGCAAGACAGCAAGGCACCTGAGCAACCTGGCTCTCACAGTGCAGAGCAGCACAGTCTGGAGATCCAGGACCAGCAGATACAAGAAACGGGGGAGGAACGGGAGGAGCAGTTCAAGGAACCTCCAGGGCATCAGGAAGAACCCGAGATGTAACTGCACTGACCAGAATTAGGAATTAGCCATATAAGAAGCCACTGCAGGCACAATTATTAACATCCTGTATTTGCTTCTAACAAAAACAATGAAGTTGCTTTTTGTCTTGCAGCCGCAGTATGCAGTAGAGATGTATTTGATTTTTTTAATGATTTGTGCTCCTTTTGGTATAAAACCACCAAAGCAGAAAATAATATTTGAAAACAACTTCTTTTGTTCAGGGTACGTTTTCCCCTTCTGTCCTTAAAATGTATATTATGAACATTAGTACTGATGTTTAATTCTTGGTATTTAAAATACAAGGAAGGCTTTCTTGTGCACTTTTGTAAATAGCTTCAAAAAGTTTTACTTTTAAAAAAATTCAAAGAGTGTCTTTTCAGGCTGTTTTCTTCCTCAAGGAAATGGCTCTGATAAAAAAAGAAATGGAAAACTGAAAAATAATTCAGTGGCTGAAAACAAGTACTTGAAATCAATATCTGTCGTATAGACTGCACTGGCTTTTAAAAAAAGTTTACTGTTTTGTTTTTCCATTTATTTTGATCACCATACACAAGTACTACTATGCAGCTTTTAATGTGCATAGTATTGCAAGTGAGGGATACAAATTTTATAAGTTCAATATAAAATTATTGAATACTGTAGAAATTTACAGACCATTTATAGGGCCTGTCAGCTGGACAACTGACATGCATGAAATAATATATTTCTATTTGCCAGGTCATTCAAAATAGATCCAATCCTATGCATATAAAAGATATTGTACATTTATTCTTCTCCTGTGGCTTTAACAGCATTCATTAGCAGTTTAGAATCATGTAGTCCATAAGACATGTTCAGTTTCTTCCAATGTTTCTCATGGAAAACAATACCAGTCCTTTAAAACTACAGTTTGAATAGTTTCAGTATTTTGTTTCACATGTCGAAAGGCAAGGCACTGTGTGTCATTTTATATTCTTTAATGAAAAACTATTGTATCCATTAGTTAGCTTTCATAAAACCCCATACTGTATTTCATACTGTAAATGCATTGATTTCATACTTGGGAGCTAGGTGGTTGTTTTTCATACTATATCCAGGACTAACTGAGGGAGTTAAATTGTAACCACATAGTCTCGATGAGCCAAAGGGCCTCCTTTCATGTGTGGCCTTTCTGATATTCTGATTTCAATAGTTAATGTATGAAAAACAGAGAATTGAATCTCCCGGGAACAGGAAATCCAGTTGTCTAAATTGATTGAACTATGAATTACCGTTCTTTTTTATTGTATTTACAATTCGGAAGTTTCTTAGCATTTTGCACCCTAAAGGTGGAAATCAATTGAGCATGCCAAACTGCCTTTGAATTTCCAGAAGAAGATGTAACATTTGAATAAATAAAGACATTTGTAATAAAATTGGTGTTGGTGTTGTTTTATTCCTGACACAAGCTTTTGCATTGGTGAATTTACTCCTGGAGCTCAACTAACACATTTCTTGTACAAAACATCTCTGGTACATTGGGAAAAAGCTTTATTATTATATTATAATCTGTCTTTTTTAAATTAGGTAGAAATGAGAAAACACTTGTAAATCCGTTGATAAAAGTTGTTACCTTTTCTTTTATCTTAGATCTAATGCTAATGTCAAACAAAAATGCAAGAGCTATTTTAAGGCCTTCCAACATTATAATGAAAGTTATAAATCATGAAGGAATTCTTGAAAGCTCTTAGACAAAATAAGTACATACTGTACAGTAACTGAGTGTAGGCAGTATGTAGTAATTTCTACTATAGTGGGACCCTGATGGCTATAATAGTTTAATAAACCAAAGAAGGTCAGTAGTACATATAACATGTTATGTAATTTCATCTGTACCTCAATGTCTTTATCAACTTCCCTACTTGAGAAACTGTGGCATTTCTAGGGCAAGTATATATGAACTAGAACTGAACTCTGAGGATTAGTGCATTTATCAGTCGAAAAGCCCGTCTGGGTTTTGTGTCCTTAGATAACCTTGGGCTGATCACACAACCTCCCTATATATATATTTCTTTTTAATTTAGCACATGACATTGATGGCATCCATACACTAGAGGTCTCTTTTGGTTTTTGTGCTAGTTTCTGTATAATAGTTCAATAGAATAGTTCTCACTCCACAAAGGAAGGGTGTCTGTATTTCAGCCTTCAGCATTTTTTGCTGTTCATTATTTACATGCTAAAGGCTTTCTCTTCTAGCACAAGAGGCAGTACTTACACAGTGTTCAACAAAGAGGCAAAGGTGACCCTTACAGATCATCTCTTCAGTGCTGTTCTGGAGTAAGAGAAGGAACCAACAAGATTTGAATCCTGTTCATTGATTGAATATTTGTGTCCTGAGACCCACACAATAAGTTAAGTGCGTAGACCAGACATCACTTCTACTGGCCTAAATGCTTAAAATAACAATAGAGGAGATTCCTTTGTTGTTGTAATCTCTGAGGATTAAATGGACCTGGACAGTCCCATTGTGTCTCAGCAAATGCAAAGATAATAGCCAGTCACAGACAAGCAAAGACATCTCAGAAATTCAGAAATCATCATCCCAGCCAGAGAATTCCTCTTCTGCCTGTGTATTATCTGGAGGGATCCTGTCAAAGTTCACATATAAAGGACCCTAGAGGAAGACAATTAGAGACCAGTTCAATTAGTATCAATTTCCTATAACAACTACCACAATGGAAAAACAATTTCATTTAGCCTGGCATGCCATTATAACCATATTTAGACATTGATACTTACTTGTGTGTTTTCATTACATTTTCTGATTTTCTGAACCAGTTTAATATCTTGAACCATTTTTGCTTTATGTGCTTTATACCAAATCTCAGTCGTCAACAAAGAAGTATCCATCAAAGAAATCCAGGAATGGAATGGAAGGTGGAAAAGACCAATAAAATTCAAATGGAAGATACTGTATGTGGGTTGTGAAGTCAAAAGAAGAAACCAAATGGAGGGCAAAAGAAACATTTTACAGATGTTCCACGTTTAATTGGATTTTAAAGAAACTAGAAATGTAAATCGTTCAGAACTGATGCTGCTCACGACAGAAGTTGTACCCATGAATTGGAGAATTCCTAATACATAAGAAGGGTAACAAAACTGAACCACATAATTATAGACCACTCCATCTAAGCGGAATATCCTAGTGGATAGTCAGCATGGATTTAGAAAACATAGGCCTTGTTTAACTTATATTTAGAACTACAGCAGTGGACACAAGCACAGCAAACAACATGGTGTATTTAGATTATTGAAAGACTTTTGACAAAATTCCCCAATAAAAGATTAATTCCCAAACTACAGGCAATACTGGTGAATACTCCAACTGGAGTGAAGTAACAGGGATCAGTACAAGGGCCAGTGCTCTTCCTAATTTACAGCATATCAATGATGTGGATGTAGCAGACTACCAAATATGACAGAAGCAGCAGATGGAGTTCAAGAAGGTTTGGACAGAATTAAAGACTGGGCAAAAACTCAGTAAGTGACATTATAATATAATGTAGAGAAGTACAGTGTTGCAGTGATTTAGAGCTGATACGAGAAGCATGTTTGACAATTGTAGGTGCACTGGATGTCCTCCTAGTATGCTGCTATTGTAGTCAATGTTTCAGTTTACACTGGCATTGTGTGCAACACATCAGCATTGCAGCACAGTAAGAGGCTCTGTATCCCATTTGGGTCTTTTAGGGCTCAAGCCCATTTTTTTTCTCCTACTTACATTACTGTAAGTGTATAGGATGCATTTAGCGATGCTGATGAGCCTCTTGCTGCTACTCGCTTCCTTGTGCTATCACGTAAAGCATTATGGCCAACTGATGACGTTGTGGGCCAAGTAAATAAATGCCCATAAATTAAAGGGTATAATAATTAGTTTTGTTAAATGGTTATGTAGGTATCTGTGCTATATTTTAGACAAAGAAATCTCGAAGAAGTTGAAAAGTTTGTGTTATTGTTCAATAGGCAGTGGTGCAGAATACACTTTGGAGATTAAACTAGTACCAAACCCCAGTCACTTAAAAAATGCTACACAATTTGGAAACAGTGTACTGTAGGTTCAGCTTTACACGAAGGTATTAATGACATAAAATACAGAAAAGATGGGAAAAGCTGACCTTGAAGAGACTATTTAGAAAAATGACCTTTTTAGTGACAACAATGAATGTTATTTAAAATGGAATAATGCATAAGTAGAACCACAACTAGGTTATTGTGCTTAATTTAGGTCAAGAAGATACAAACTATGTTTTTAAAAATAAATCCAGAGAAGAGTAACCAGATACAGTCTAGGGTTAGATGTAATGTCCTATACTGACAGATTAAATTTAAATTAGGATTTTAAGTTGTTAAATTAACAACTTAATTAACATTTAAGTTAATTAAATGTTAACTTAAATGTCCAGGTGGATGCTGCACATTGGTGGTGGTGGAGGGGAGTCCCCATTACCTGTAAAGCGCTTTGAGTGGAGTGCCCAGAAAAGCGCTATATAAATGTAAGCAATTAATTATTATTATTATTAAGTTGTGAACAGAGAAGCCTAAAAAGACCCAAGTATCCAATATCCTCAAAGGCAGTGATAAAGTCAAATCACGGAGCTTCTTCAGAATAAGTAGTGAAACACAATACAGAGAACACAACTGGAAATTACAAACAGGAGCATTTAAACAAAAATCAGGAGGCTCTTGTTTACATAAAGGGTTGTGGAAGTATGGAAAAAGCTACACAGCCATGACGGTGAAGCCCATAAACTGCCTTTGTTAAAAAAACAAGTGGTTGAGATGCTCAGATCAATTAGATACAAACTACCAGAAGGACTGGATGTGCCAAACAGCCTCCTCTCACTTGTAACTATTCTTATGTTCTTCATCCCCCTGCTGTCTCTTGGCACTATAGGCCTTCAGCCCTTACCTTTCGTATGAGGCACATAGTGGGAGCATCCAGTTGACAAGCCCGCAGCTTCTGCCAGTTGAGGTTATTAAACCACCTAAACACACATACGAAAAGCGGTGAAGGCTGTTGCAGTTAACTGACATTTCCAAAGTGATGTTGGCTTTTTATATAAAAAATATCAAATATACTTAGATATCTTCAAAATCTTCTTACAAATGTAAAGGCTTTTATGACATCAAATGCAAATTAAAAAGCAAAAAAGCCATATTTGTTACAGCATGTTGAAAATTAAAACAAAAACATGGTTTTAGTTTTAACTCGATTAAAATGCAATTTGATGATCTGAAAATAAATTTTCAAAAACTTAAATGTTTGCTTTGTGAATTAATCCAGAGATTTCTCCCCATACATTATTTTACATAGTGGATATGGAGAATAAATTATAGATCTAGTAGTTTGCACTTCATTAACATTAAGAGCTGTGGGGGTATCAAACAAGCTACCCAGCCATGTGGCTGATACACTGTTGATACACTGGTTTCTTTCATGAAATGACTGAATGTGATCCCGAGTTCATTTACCTGCTAGAAACCAATAGAATCTAAAGGGCTAAAAGGCATCTGATTTGTACTCTTTCTTATTTTCTTAATACATTTCTTAAATATTTGTCATCTAACAACCATAAAATCTACAGTTAACAATGCTTATTCTCAGATGATATACAGTACAGTACACCAACCACTCAGACAATTATATATCACAAAAGGATAAAATGTCAAATATAACCAAACAAAACTGGTTACAACAAAACTCACTGCACACAAGTAAAAGAGTATACAGTATATACATTGTTTTACATTTTAATTGCTGTAGGAATATACACTGTAAATCAAATCTGTTTTTTCTATGAAATTAATATCCATATACTGTAGTTTCAGTACCTGTGGTTCCGAATATCCTTTATTCCATTTTTATTGTTTCCCAACCGTTGGCCTGGTCGTAGCCTGTGGAAGAACATACTGCATATTAGAAAAGAAATATTGTAAAAGTCTTACCTTAAGCTAAGACACACTGATTGCATTTTTGCTATGAAAGGTTAAATAGCCTACAGTACATCATATTTCTGAAAGACATATTGATGAACACATTATTTGACTTATTGTTTCAGTGATTAGCTAATTGGCTTTATTAAATATTACCTTCTATGATGGAAAAAGCTGAAAACACAACTAAAAAATCACCCATAACCTTTAATGATATATAGATCATACATGATGTTGTTTGTATATTAAGAGTGGTCAATTTCACTTGATGTAATTCTATACATGTCCACGTCTGTGGCACACAAAAGTGGTCCATGCATGAATGACATGTAATGTCTTCTGATAATTAAATAAAAACAAACAACACCATTTTCCTAATTTCATCACAACACACTAGCATGAAACTTTTCATCTTAATGTACTGTAATTGTTGCAGATGAGCTTTGTAAATGATAATTACATATGCAAAATAGAAGTTTTATTATAAATGGATTGTTGATGTCTTTAGAATATCTGAGTCTGAATGTATTTTTTTCTTTTTTATACATTAATTTCCAAAAAAAAAACAATTAAAACTTTATTTGTTAATAAAAGGAAGTGATTTTGGTCATTTTTTAATATTTCTTTATCTTTCTCACAATGAATATGATGTTATTTCTGTCTTCATTAAAGAGGTGTTTTCCCTTTAGGACAGGAAACCTTAAAGCAGTGTGAGTGAATGCTGTGCTTCTGAAATATGGTAAAGAATGTTATTTACCTGCAGAGCTTACTGATAAGAGATCTGGCTCCTTCTCCCATGTGATGGGGGAATTTAAGGATCCCATCAAGAATCTTGCTGTATATTCTCTGAGGGTCTGAGCTTGTGAAGGGGGGGCTGTGAAAGAGCACAAGACACCATGCGTTGGCAAAGGTGTGGCCAAGACCCCCCCGCAGAAAAAATATTAAAATTAATTGTTCATTCTGTTCTTTAAAAAAAAACATTGATTTAGACAACTACTGTATAGTTGTCGATCTGCTTTTGTCTACTTTATCCTTTAATCTCTGTTTCACCATGGTAGCTTAACTGAATTTATTGACCTAAATTAACTGAATTTAACTGAATTAAATTATTTCATCATTCAAGGCATCAATTCATCAATGCACTGACACTAACAGTATCTAACAAGATAAGGGCCTAAAACATACTACTCATTTTAATTATTTGTATTGTGAATGCAATGAGTACCACTAAGTATTGCACTCATAGTTTTATTCTGAGCTGAATGAAATGATTCCATCATTGTATTCAAGACATCAGTTCATCATTGCACTTATCTAACAATGGCACATGGCACTTATCTAAGAATATAAGGGCTGGAAAACACACTACTCATTCCACTGCTACCTGGTCTTGGAAAATAAATTAAGGCACATTGTGGCAGAACCAACAAATTTAAAGGTAACACTTGCTGAGTTTTTGAACATGTACTGTACATAGGAAAAAATATGAAAGCATTGAATAGCCGAATTTATAACATATTCTTTACCATAGACTGACCTGCCTGCCAACAGCTCAAACACCAAGACTCCCAAGGACCAGAGGTCAGCAGCAATGTCGTGGCCTTCATTCTTTATGATTTCTGGCGCCAAGTACTCAGGAGTGCCACAGAATGAATATGTCTTCTCTCCTCGAGATAGTTCCTTTGCAAATCCAAAGTCTACCTATCAATGGCAAAGGATCTATGATTAGATACAAGGATAAGAAGACCTTGTATCCAGTTATGGACATTGTAGATATGTGGTTCAAGTAGGGAGCTGCGTCAGCATGCGTAGGCTTCAAAGGAACAAGTTAAGGTTTATTCCGTGCTGAAAACGGAAGAAAAGAAACACAATGTTACAGCTGTGGAGCCCTCTCTGGGTGTGAGAGAGAGAGGAAAACTGGCAGCTGATAAAGCGTAGGAGAACAAAAGCCGGGATTGGAGAGGAGGCGGGAACAGGAGAGAAGCAGAGTGGACACCCCGTGTGAAGGACGGTGTGGTCACAAGAGTTGAAGAGGGGTCTGAAGTCAAAACGTGCCAATGAATAGAGAAGATTGGAAGGAAACAAGTCTGTCGTAGAGAGAAGGGGAAAGGTGTGATCATAGTTCCAGGAAAATTTTGGATTCGGTTGTCTTTCTGCAATAGGAGTTCTGAAACCCCTCTTTGAGAACGCAGACGGAGAGATCAGTATGATCATGGCTGTTAGAGGTAAAATGGGAAACTATGGGTTTGCAGAGATCTTTGACATGTCCTCTGAAGCAGTTTCCCCTTCCTGTGTCACCAATGTACTTATGTTCTCTACTTGTAAATGACTGTTGGGAAGCTATAGTGTAAAACCATGTGAACCAACTATTAGATCAAACTAAAAATAACCTTAAAAAATAAGGTTTTAATAAGGGGACAGCCTTATTGTTTTAATTCATCAAGACAAACTTCTTCTTACACCAGTGGCTAAACCCAACTGTCCAAAAAAACAAAGCATCTGTATTTGAACTCACATTTCAAAGCAGTTATAAGACAAGAAATAAAAGTTATTAGGTAACTACTATTTTGTATTTCTAATGATCTCTCTGGAGCAAATAATTCAGTATTTTAATTAAAATAATAATAAATTAAGTAACAAGATTATAGAATTTTCTCAGTTTAAAAAATTTGACTGTTATGAAGGAGCACTCACTGAGAATGCAAGGGAAAAAAGAAAGTCTTACCAGTTTCACATATCCCATCATGTCCAGCATTAGGTTCTCAGGCTTAAGATCCCGGTAAACAATTCCTTTCACACGGAGATAGGCAAAAGCCTCGACTACACAAGCTGTGCAGAAAATTGCTACAGGTTCCTCAAAACGACCTCTGCAAACAGGATAATAAACTCTTTTACATAGGCTCCCAAAGTTTACTTTACTGCTTGATTGTTTCTGATATCCCATTCTCAAACAATCAAAAACAATTAACGTTAGTATCTGACTTGTTAATCCGTGCACACTTACAGTATACACATTATGCTGGCAAGGACTGATTAAGGACCATTTTCTCAATATTGTTCACTGCTGGGTGCTTAAAAATTAGATAAATATAAACATTTACCTGTCAAATTAGAGGAAAACACACATAGAATGTGACCTTTCTAAGATATATCAAATATAATTATAATTGAGATCTTCTCAATTAAGATGATAATCAAAGAGCTTTTTGCTTTCTTTCACAAATGCTTGCTCAACTGCTGAATTCACTGAGCTGGTCATGTCAAGGCTATTGTTGCAGAAGCAGCTCGGTCCTATAGGAAGAGCAAATCTCTTTCTCCTCCTATTTCACAGATACATGCTCATAAATAATTTATATAACATCTAAAGTAGTCCTGCAGAATGCAAACTTTTGGAAAATGATCAAATCATAGTAGATGACTCAGTGATCTTGACAAGTAAAAAAAGGAAACAAATCGTATACCGATTAGTGTAAATTCGCCCTTTAGACATGAGCAAAATAGCTTTAAAGTGGACTTTGCTCTGCATGATCTCTGGGGCCAAGTGCTACAGAATGAGTAATAAGTTATAGCTATAGTAATTCCTACACATAAAGCAGTGAGGAAAAAAGTAATCTCAGATGCTGTAAAGGAAATTCTTAGCATTCATTTCTTACTTTTCTCTCAGTTTGGTCCATAGTTCCCCACCAGAGCAAAATTCTAAAACCAAATAGATGTTTCTTGTGTCCTTAAATGCAGCATAGAACCTGATAAGAGAAATAGAAGAGAGATTCTGAAAGTGCAAAAAGAGAAATATGTTGCACTCAAAGTTGCAGTATCCAAAGATACAGCTTCATGTTATGCAAAACAATCTAATTTAATATATACACACATCTTGAACTAAAGCTTGGTAATTTATTGTTTTAAACAATTTACCCAGAATAAGGTTTCTGTATGCAATTAAAGCTGGGATAAAGTTTGTTTTTTTTGTTAACAAGACTCGTTTCTTCTGGGATGCGGGTCACCCATCGTGCCCCACAATTATAATCCATACAGTAACTGGACTTCGATAATTATTTTCAGTTACAGTATTTCAGTTCAGCTGGGTGTTCAGTCCCTTTCAAACTTGAAGTGAGAATGTAATGCTACTGTAAATATGGGGCACTTATAAAAAGAGCAACTTTATGATGCTTTTCTCCCCAAAAACTATAGAACAAAGACAAATGCCTGAATTTTCACAGCACAAAGAAAAGTCAAATGTTTGCCAGTCGGGATTCAATCTTTTCTGATTTGCAATATCTCATGACCCTATTTAATACTTTATTCAAAGCCATTTCACTAATTATCAAGTTCACCTGACAATAAAATTGCATTGTATGTCCTGAAGGATGCGCCTTTCCATTTTGACATGTTCCTGCTGTTGCTTAGCAACAATATGATTTTTGCTGACACGTTTCAGGGCAAAAAACTTGGAAAGCTCAAGACTTGTCACCTAAAGAAAAAAAAAGGTATTAAGGATATCAGTAATATCTTTCAAAATTACACTATTTTACAATATGGTTTAATTTACTAATGTTATACAGGTACTTCATATAGAATGCAAAGTTATTGCAACAAATCATGCATGTATATACTATATATAAACTCAATATTTTAAGCTAATATAGGAGTAAGAATTCTTGTAAATAATTTCATTAATAATTAAAGTTTTATTTGATTAGTGTTTCAGATACAAAAATCTTTGTTGAAGAAATTACATCATGTACATTTTGCTGTCCTGTAAATGAATTTCATTTGTATGTAATTTGGAGGCCATCAATCAAGCTGAAACACAATGTAATAAGGTAAAAAGGTTTCCATTCTTATCGCCTTTCATATTAATACTCAGTTTTCAGCTCCAGCATAAGCCCAAGTGCTTTTCTGTTAATCGTGTCTTAGACATCTATTTTTTATATACAGTGTAGTAGGTGTTAGACATTACGATGAAAAAAGATAATGATATGTTACTATATTTACAACATAAAATGTACATCGCACACGCATAAAATACTGAATTTTTACATTGCCTCGGATATTTAGTGAAATGTAAAAAACTACATGGGTATTCATGCCAAAATTAACAAATCTTTAGAAAATAAAGGCTTCATTTGCACTACAGGCTTTGTAGTCATGATTTTTTTAAGGTAAGAAACAGTATAAATGGTGAATGGTATGAACCTTTACTGCTGTTTTACACATTTTTTAGAAATATCTGGTGACCCTAGATCTATATGTATATCTCAAGCATTTTATTTGGATTTTTAATTGGAATCTTTAAAGGACTTTTCAATGTTTATTTTGGTTCTTCATCAAACACATCAAAATCTTCTTCACACATTCTTCAAGAAGACATTCAGTTGAATGTCAAACAGTGGACTGATGTTATGAAGAATGTGTGGACTGCTTCTCTTGAAGTCTGTGAACTTACCAACTCAACTCGCCCAAATCCTCCCACTCCAAGTGTGACAGGCTCTCCGTGGAACCGGCCTTCTTGGTACAACACTGGAATAAGATCCTGCAGCTGCAATGTTGCACCTAGCCTGGAAGAAAAGAAAAGGGCAAAATATTGGCCTGTCTGATTATTTATTTCCCTTCAAACAACACCAGCAAACTTATCAATTGTATTAGTACGCGGGCTTTATTTCTGGTTTGTGTCTGAAAATTAGGAGAGACTCATAAATAAACGGCTTTTCTTAATTTCACAGTAACTGCTAGTCTACATTTCTAAAACACAAATAATGCTGTACAATTTGATTCTTTGGAGAAATCTAACTTAAATTAACAGTATGCGTCAATAATTAACAATGGAGGATGTTTAAGCTTACATATGAGAACAAATTATGAATGTATTCACAGGTATTAGTTATTGCAGTATATAGATGACATACCATTTCATGTCCTCCTTAAATAAAGCATTAAAACATCATATACTCTTGCAACATACTTGAATAATCTACATATATTTAGAGATACTCACCTCTTTCTCTCTGGCAACATTATGTTTTCAAAAACTTCACAGCTTTAAAAAGAACAAGGTCATATTAAAAGAATTGCAACATACATTACAACATTCTGGACAGAGGTTTATGAAATACACCATTAATTAGCCAAACTCTATATGAGAACTTCTCAATTCAGCCACATGGCAAAATAAAAGAATAATCACAAATTCTGTTTTCACTCTTAACAAAAAGAGTGACAGGAAATTTGAGTTGAACAAAATCAGCAGTACAATAGAGACTTTTCAAGTCCATTAAGGCAGGTGAGCACAACTGCAGTCCTAGAGGACAGGAGTATGGTTTTCTTTCCACCTGTGCCCGTAATTGCATAATTGAACTCATTATTGACTTAATTGGACAAGTTAAAGCCTCTCCATGTTCTTAGATTTAGAGAGACCTACAGTATAAGACATGCTGGACAGTGACACATCAGAGCTGAAGCTGGTCTCCCCTATGTTAAGGTATACACTTGCAGGACCTTTTAGAAATATTAACAATAATTACATTAAAGACATATTGGTAATAGGTAATAAAGGCTATTGCTACTACTAATAATAACAACACATGCTTTAGTAATACTCACTCATCAGGCAGTTCTATATTCTTAATTGGTATAGTTTCTTCAAAAACCCTAAGAAAAAAGGCACATCTATTAAATTACGTAAAACGTTTTAATTTCACTTAACTACTTGTCACTGAGACAAGTTTAGGTGGAAAAGACTGTTGATTCTAGGATCTTACTAAATTTCTTTAGAGACAACCAGACTTTCTGAAACTAGCACAAAATGTTACATCTCATAACAATTGCAATGTCCACAAAATGGGGTTTAAATTTAATGACAGTGCTTCATGTAGTACTACTGATTCATAATTGTTCAACAATAACAAATCAATCGAATTGGTCTCTAACTCACTTTCAGAAGGACTATTTCCAAGCTTGGGCTTTGATAATGGGTCCTTTTTGATTATCAAGTCCAATAATTTTAAGGGCTTGATTAATCTATAATAAATCTAGCACCAAATGATGGATTTTAATTGTGAGTGAAGTTATGGACACAAAATATAGCTTTCTGATAAAACAGGTTTACTGTATGTTTGTTCTTAACTAAAGTATTTTATCATTTTAATTAAAACTTAATTTACCTCAAAGGCAAGTATAAAATATTAACTTACTCTTTATCGATGGAAATACATGTGACAGGTCCCACTGCAGTGCATGTTGCAGTTCTGCAAATTTCACTGAAAACAGATGGAAATTAAATATAATTATTTACATGATATGCCTATATTTGAAGTTACTAAATCTAAGCAATAAAGACCAACTCAATGTCTTTCTATTATGGAATAATGTATATGAGAAAATCAGAATTTCTAAGTGATAAAATGTTTCATCTGTTTTATGTGTTTTTCACTTTGCAGAAAATGAGGCCTAAGAAATGTTTCACAATTCTGCATTATTTTCTATACTGTAGACATCAAGACTTCAGAATTTCACCTTTGTCATAATGTAGAAGTGATGTAGAAACATCATGCAATGAATAGTAATTATGAAATGCCACGATTAAAATATTATTTCGAAAATGTTCCTACATTTTTATTAACATGAGCCCTAAGGACTAAACAACCGCAGTGTGAAGGGTGTTTGTGTTTTTGAGATTTATGGTTTTTGACATGTGGGTTTGCTGTTGGATAGCAGATAAAAACAAAATGGACTGGTGGTGGCAATTTGGAGCAAACAAACTAATTTCACTGAAATATCTAAAATTTTCAACAGAATAGAACAGTCTGAAATATGCTATACACAGAGCACATAGGAAAGTAAGAAAGGGACAAAGGCTGTCCCTTTAGACTCGGTCACCCAAACAAGGACAAGAAAACAAGAGGAAGAAGCCATATCACCCTGCAACTCACAACTGGCAACCCACTGAAGCTAAGCAGGTGTGAGACTGGTCAGTACCTGGATGGGAGACCTCCTGGGAAAAACTAAGGTTGCTGCTGGAAGAGGTGTTAGTGGGGCCAACAGGGGGCGCTCACCCTGCAGTCCGTGTGGGTCCTAATGCCCCAGTATAGTGACGGGGACACTATACTGTAAACAGGCGCCGTCCTTTGCCTGAGACGTAAAACCGAGGGCCTGACTCTCTGTGGTCATTAAAAATCCCAGGGCATTTCTCGAAAAGAGTAGGGGTGTAACCCTGGCATCCTGGCCAAATTTCCCATTGGCCCTTACCAATCATGGCCTCCTAATAATCCCCCTCTATGAATTGGCTACATTACTCTGCTCTCCTCCCCACTGATAGCTGATGTGTGGTGAGCGTTCTGGCGCACTATGGCTGCCGTCGCATCTTCCAGGTGGATGCTGCACATTGGTGGTGGTGGAGGGGAGTCCCCATTACCTGTAAAGCGCTTTGAGTGGAGTGTCCAGAAAAGCGCTATAAGTGCTGTAAGCAATTATTATTATTAAGAAAAAGACATCTTGACAAAGATAAGAAATGCATTTCCCAATGAGGGCCAGCACTCCTGTAAGCCCACTCTTGCAGGTTCAAACAAATAGACAGATTTAACACACAGCATAAAAATAAGTATTTTGAAAAGCTAGTGATATTTAGATTAAAAACATGATTCAAAACTGCTTTTTAAATGTATGGGAGGGCTTCAGCTCTGCCATTTCCAGGCAATGTTCAATAACACATGTACTGTAAGCAGCGTAATGTTGCACACCACCTGACATTACCGTATTAAAGCTAGTTCCCCAAAGTGCTCCCCTTTTCCCATTATCCGGATCTCCTTCTGTTGCCCATTCACCATTTTTGTCACTTGCACCTGAAACACAAATATTGCAAGAGAACACAGGTGAAACAATACTTTCAGATCTAGGTTTATAGCAATAATTAGAGAAAAAAGCAGAAGTAGTGAGAAGTACCGTACATGCAAAACTTGACTTGCGAGACTGACAAATGACATTGTATACATCATAAGAGTAGGTGGAGACAAGATCCCCTATTTGGGAATGACCAGCCATCTCATGTCACTTGAACAATTGGAAGAAGGCAATTGGTCAAGTGACATTCAGAAACCAGGAAACATCAGATTCCATCAAGCTCTGCTCTCTAGAAAGAAAGCAGAGCCTCTGATAAGCATTGCACCAAAAGTGAAGGGAGCAAGGAAGCAATCCATGGGCACATTTAAAATGCATTTTGAAACTGATACTTTGGGATGGAGGGGGTTTGTTGCCTGCCCTTAATCAGTTTAGCTGCACAGCAACATGTCTTGAGAGGACACTTACAAATAAGTTTTGTTTGCAGTCTGCACTGTTTTTCCCTCACTACAAATAAAGGACAATTTGTTTTAACTTTAGAGCTGTTGTGTGTCCTTTTACCAAGAAGTCCTGTTAAAGATAGTTGCCACGGCAACCTGCCCAGGTATTAGAATTTGTATCCATTTAATAAAGCATTTCTAGAAAAATCTGAATTTTGTTAAATCCTTTTACATTTTTGACAACAGATCCAAGTTCACAAAGGCAGTCAGAGAGCCTTGGTTCACAAAAGTCAAGATGATGAAAAAGATGCATTTTTAAGCAAATGTTCTATATTGCTGCATTTTGATGGGCACACTTGTCTCATTTACTGTTGCAACTTTTGCTACCTTTTTCAATTTTTAAAAGTCTGAATTCAGACAAAAAACAAACTTTTATTATTCATATGACCTATTTTCTTCTTTGGATTAACAGTGTGTCTAAAACATACAATTAATAACAAACTGAACACATACCTCTCCTTTCAGAATGATATAAAATGTATTGCCCTCTGTTCCTTCTCGGACAATAACCTCATTATTTTGGAATTTACACTGGAAAAAAAACAAACACATACACAAATTGTATATGAAAAGAAGATCAACAATCTTGTTTTTAAAATTTTTCAGCTATTTTTGGCAGGACTATTTTTGTAGTCATGTATTAAATACATGTAAAGTTTGTCCATTTTCACTCTGAGTAAACGATAAATGGGGACTGTGCTAAATACTGTATGTTAATGCAGAAGTGAGATCAAAGCTTAAATGCAATAGTCATAAAAAAATAAAGACCATTAATATTGAAAATGCTTTTAGGGCAAATTTGAATCTTCAATGTGAAACATTCAGTCTTTCTGAATGACGGAACGTCAGATGTGTGTTTCCAACTTTTTTGTTTGGATATTACAAAGTTGAAAATGACAATGTAGCAACAAAGTAACATTAAATAAAAAATAAGGCCTTTTCTGTTTCATTTGAAATGCTGGTACACAGCAGGACCCCACAAAAACAAGATTTTACTATTGATAAATATTACAGTGGCCTTCCAGGTTCCGGCAGTTGAATCAGCATTGTGAGTAAATTATTGAGGTGGGAATTGGCACCACAGTGTGTTCAGAAGAGAAAGCAAATAAGACCAGAGCACAAACCTCTTCCATGGAATCAATTATTTTTGAGAGCTGTGCATCACTTAGGTCCTTCAGAGTTCGGGCTCTGCAGGAAGTCACAGGGAGAGATGCTTTTATCTCAATTTCTGTAACATTATATTTATTCTGTACAGCTTACTGTTAGAATTACAGGTAATGGTGTGCACACCTTTTGTGCATAATGAGGCCATGTAAACATTTGGGCAAAGAACAAACATAATGAAATAAATATCCATAGGCAGTAAAAAATATTACCAATTGTATTTAGGTGAAAAAGTGTCCAGGCACCCTATGTTATGTAAACAGTGTAAATAACAGCATCCTCTGTAATTTAATAAGGGTAGAACTGTATTTTAAAGTACAATATTATTTAAAATTTATTGTTAATTATTTTATAAATTTGGAACTGGCAAATGTTAATCGCCTAGATTCACTGCTAAAACTCTCAGACCAGCATAGTGAATGAGGGTTGTGCACACTTTTTTTCAAAATACCTACTGTATTGTATTTCCAAAATTTGAGATTTGTGGCATTTCCAAATTCACCCGATATTTTCTGCAAGACCTATAGTGTCTAGCAAGAGAATAGATAACAATTTGATGTATGATGAATATCTAAATGATGGAGCTGCAGACTTGCTGCCTGGAAAACTCCAGAGATGACTGGGAAATCTAAGATGTCTTCTCTGACACAAGTCCTTTCAAATCCAGCACACCTGGACTGGGTGAGTCCTGGGGACAGGTAAGATTACAGCTCAGGTCCAAAATGAAATCCCTGGATTATAGAACCCATCTTGTGCTATGATTGAGTGGTTTTATTGGTAGAACAATTACTTGGAATCTGACAAAGCTTGTGAATCCCAAAGTATACAAAGTTTGGCTACTTAGTAACCAATATGGTGTTTACAATTGCTGTGTCTGTAGGAGCCAATGACACAAGGTTTGCACATTCATCAACAGCTCATGTAGTAAACACCAAAGCCAACATTATAATCTGATGAAAAATATTTTAGGAAAAAGATTATTATATTGACAACACCAATCTGAGGACTTGCCAAAACTAATCTTTATAGACTGTGCCATTAGATTCCACAAAATTGTAAAGCGAAAGCTTATATTTTAACATTATACAGGTAGTCCATAACAATAGAAAAAAAAGTTTGCTTTTCAGTGCTTTAGGTTTATTATTTTCTTTTGCATTTGCAATTCTCTCTCAAATTCTTGAGGACTGAGAGTCTTATAGCCACATGTTCCTTAATGAGATAAAAACACAAAAATGGAATATGTTTCACACTAACTCTCAAAAATATGATACTGTATTGAGAATATCATTTCAATATCAATATCAGTACAATATCAATAATGTTTCTCTTCACACACACTTACATCTTTAAAAAACCCATAATTTGCTCCCTTTTCCGTTTTGACTTGTTGGTCATAATCATTCGATATGTCTGCCTGTCAATACACCACAGTCGGATGTCTGTGATAGCTGTAATAAGACAGAAAGGGAAATGGAAGGTAATTTGACACACGTGGTGCAAGAGCAAAGGACATGAATGCCTTTATATTTTCTTTACTAACTTTAGTTGCCAGCTAATTAGGTATCAGATTTAAAAGGTAACCGACATACTGTAAGGCAGAAGCTAGGAAAAATCATGGGGGGATTGGCTTTATTATTTTACTTAAGAACAAAAGAAAGGTTGAAATTGTATGTGCTTCCAAAAGAATCTTACAAATTTGACCTTCCTCCATTTTAACCAGGATTAGATTTGTCAGATAAATACAATAATAAAAATAATCAATACAATATTGATGAAGTCTGGCTTGGACATTAAACCTTGTTGGTAAAATTGTATTTAAGACTGCAGAGTATCATTTACTTAGAAACACAAGGCGGTGTAATTGGCTACTGTTAGTGCATTCCTCCATGATTATTTATGAAGTCTTTTAAATGTAAAGGTATCACCTGTTGCCTTTATCTCTGACACTGCCACAGTATACAGTATGTCTGTTCAATTACACTACTTTGTACATACTTTGAACTTTGTACATACTGTAGATTGCTTCCAAGAACTGATCTTCTTGTAATGTGTCACTTGTATTTTTACTTTAACCTTTCATGATTACATTCAAGCTTATTTTCTTAATGAAGGGACAGAAGCCGCATATTTGCAGTTTTCATGCTTTATCCTTCCACTGAATCTTCTGAGTTGAGATATTACACTTAAGGTGTATAAATGCAGTCACTCGCTCTACAGAAAAAAGCTGCTTGTGATGCTTACCTGAAATTGTACACATTCCTATTCTATCTGTCTCGTCTAAAAGTAACTAAAACTAAAAGTAATATTGTTGAACAGAATGTACAGATGAATATACAGTATGTGCCTGGCATCACCTCTGACTGTAGCTGTGCGTTTGCAGTTGTACAGGATGGCCAGCTCTCCAAAGACATCTCCAGAGGTCAGTGTCCTCAAGTGCCGGCCTGCCTGGGTCACTTCCAGTTCGCCAGCTGAGAACAGCAGCACACAAGCATTAGCAAACCTCAGACAGACGTACTGTAGGACTGCAGCACCTGCAGCACTTGTACTGGAATACAGGATAAAGAACGAGCTTTGATACAGAGATTAATATTTTCGGCTACCCTGTATTTCTGTAGAATACATAGAAGCTCTATCACAGAGAAACTGATGTTAATCAAATGCGGATGCCATGATAGCTCCGAATAAGTACCAGGCATGAGGGATGTCACATGAACTCACCATAATTTACTGTATAAGGACATCCATCCATTTTCTAACCACTTTATCCAGTACAGGATCGTGGGGAGACAGAGCTAAATCCGGCAAACAATGGGCACAAGGCAGCTAAGCACACCAGTCCATTACAGAGCACACAGAGACACAAACAAGCACACACTCACACCTGGGCCAGGTTTCTAGAAGCCTGTTAACCTACCAGTACTGTATGTCTTTGGACTGTGGGAGAAAACCAGAGCACCCAGCAGAAACCCACACAAAAATCGGAAGAACATACAAACTCCACACAGATAGCACTCTGGAATTGATGTCTATACACTAGTATCTACTGTACCTATCTTCTCTCATGGGAGTCACATATTTTTACATACTGTAGCTGTGCAGATTGAAGAAACAAAGGAAGGGTTAATGTTAAAAAACACCCATTTTCTAACAGGTTCTTTGAATTCAGGTTCATGGGGGAGTCGGAAGTTATCTTGGCAAACAACAGGCGCAAGGCAGGTTACACCCTGGACAGGACTCCAGTCCAACATAGGGTGGACATACAGACACAAACACTGACATGCATGCACTCATATCTAGGGCCAACTTTCCCAGAAGCCTATTAACCTACCAGTATCTTTTTGGACAGTGGGAGAAAACGGGAACCTAGAGGAAACCCTCACAAATAAGGGGAGAACATACAAACTCCAAGCAGATAGCACCCCAGGTCTGGCGTTGAACCCTTGGCCCCAGAACTGTGAATCAGTTAACCCCTGAGCCAAAGTTTCATTTGAAAATACACATGTATACCTGCAACAATGTACATGGTATTCCCCTCACAACCCTCTACGATAACAACTTCTCCCCGGCTTCGTTCAGCAGGCAACAGACAGTCCAGCATCATCACGATCTGATCATCATTCAGGCGGTGCAGGAAGTCATTTTGGTGGATGGCCTTTATAATCTGGCTGGTTTCACTTAGGGCAGAATTGAGAAAAAGAGATATTTGAAGAGCAATTTATTTAAAAAAGGTAAATATACAGTAAAGTCTACTCTATATTTGTTTTAGTGAAATAAATTATGGGTTTTTACTTTAAAATTTGATAAGGTTTACCATATATACAGTAGGAATAAGACTAAATTCATACAGTAAATCATTTTAATACTTAAAACAACAGCTTCTACTGTGGTTTTATTAACATATAATAACTGAGCATTCTTTGTCAAATATATATTTTATGACTATGGAATCAATTCAGTTTTATTACCAACATAAATTTAAACTTAAAACCTGTATTCATACAGTATATTCTGTAGGACAGTATGTACTGTACATTATTCTATTTTACAAATTGTAAATCAAGTTTTTCAATGCTTTGTGACTCTTGCAAAATTATTAATTGCTGCTGTATTGTATTGAAATGAGTCACTCAAATGTAAAGTAAATGAATGTACTGTGTAGTAAGCTTGTACTAAACCAAAATTCAAAGGCAAGTGCAGTAGATGTGTGAGTGAGAGAAACTTAAACTTTATTTACAAATGACTTTATTTGGGATGGCAGCATAAGTGAATGAAAATGCTGTTTGTAAATATTTGGTTCTATCAAGGTTTCAATCTGTATGTTTCACAAGAAAAAGACACAAAACTACATTTTCTTGTCTGTGTCATATTTTCTTTCTGTGGGCGTATTCAGTACCTGATTGTTTTATGGTTTTTGTGCTCGGTTGGCTCCCAGTCCTCTGGAAGTGGTTCAGGAGCGATGGCTGCTGTGCGGCTCTTCGGCACCTGTGGCTCATTGTCCACGCTGGCTCGCCCTTGCTGATGATCTATGGCTGAGTATACATGGGAGTCATGAGAGACAGGACACTGCTAGTTTTCAGTTCTGATTTTTTTGTTAGGTTCATTAAGACAGGCATGCCGTGTCCCAATTCTTCTACTGAGTTGTAAACCCTTCCTCCAAGTTCGCACTTCTGTGACATAGCGCAAGTGTGGACTTCAAGTGTGCCTCGGGACACAGTGGGACAGAACTCACTGGTTACACGGCTTAGGGTCAAAATGCTGTCTGTAGTTGATACTGTACAGTACGTGTTTTCCTGTGGCTAAGTGTGTGTCGGCAGATAATTTTTTTTAAGTTTTTCATTCTCCGTTCGCAATTGAATTGAAATTGAATTTCATCTGATCTATTCCTGCACAAAGGTAGTGACACATCGCGTTTATTCACGTTGAGCAGGCTCGACTCAAAACGGGCAATGTAAACTAAGGAAAACTTGGCAATACCATTCTCTGTTTATTAAAAGCTTTGTACTACTACTTTCGTCGTCTGCCCCAGTACAAAAATGACAGTTCGAGGAACATAACGCATTCATTCAACTAAACTAAATAAGGTAAACTTGGCAATACCTCAAAGCTTTATACTATTAAATAAGTGTACTATTAAATATTCCGTGTATAAAATACACTGCAGGTAAACGAATATTCATCAGTCAAAATCAGGTGACGAAAAAAAAGCTTTATGTCAACACTTCGTACCAAGAATACATACAGTATGAATTTAAAGTATCCCAATAAAAGGTTGTTTTTACATAAAATAAGTTTTAAAACTAAAAAAGTTAAATTGTACTAATTGTAACGAATATACCCCTGCGTATAAGAGGGATCTGAGCCGGCTGTTAGGAGAGTTTTTCTTTTGCTCAGCTGGCAATTTCCCTGTTGCGTGACGCCGGAGGCCAGGGTTCGCGCCCAGGCAGTGAGGGCCGAACTGCCAGGGCAGGAGCGGAAAGAGCAGAAACCCCAAGAATCATTACATAATGCTTGAATATTTTATTCTCCCTAGTAAATTATCTCTGCTTTGACTAGAACATGAAACGTCACCATTCCGCAAAGAATTGAGGAAAAGTCTTAAACTATGTATGCTCCGATGCGGATTTCAGAGAAAGGCACGTTAAGGACGGATTAGGGGCGCTGGGGAGCACCCTTGTTAAACACAAATTTAGAAATGGGACACCCTAAATCCTTGAAGACTTGAAGACTTGAGCGAGAACGTGCATATGAAGGGCGCATATGAAGGGCGCAAGACCAGAAGTCTGCATGTAGGGACACGGCTGAAGAATTCCTCAGAAATTTCCTTATCAAATAAATGCACATGCATACAGTATATTCACACATATGAAAATATTGTAGCACTCTCGCCTGGCGTTGCGGCCTGAAGAGCGCCCAGCTGGGGTGCACGGCGAGGGGCAGGACGGGAGAAGTGGTGGCCAGGGTGGGGACTAGGAGAACCACTGACCAGTGCAGCTGACCAATTGTCGAACTTGTGTACACAGTCGCGAGATCCCCCGGACTCATGTAGTTTCCCTGGATTTGCACCCCTTTTATACATGTACCCCATTTCCACCCTATAACTGTGTAACTTTACTCGAATTGACCACAATATGTTGCAGAGCTGCTTGTCTCTCTCTCTTTCTCCCCTTGTAGTTGCTGTGCCGGACGCACATCCGATTAATAAAGCGCTGTGTTCTCATTTAAGGAGAGCTTGAATTCCTGTCTTTATCCTCCTCGAACCCGTCGCGTTACAATATAAAACTCCACAAGTTCAGCGCATACATCAAGCACAAATCCAGATACAGTTAAAAATCCTCACCCAGCTCATCAAAACGGGTCTGTAAGTCCTTAACATGTTTTTCCTTTTCTTGAAGTCGTTTCTCTAAGGGAATAGAATAGTTATGAAAAAGTGTATTCAAACCTGTGTATAATTGCTTGATAAAAAGCATCATATGAATAGCACAGCATATGCATATTGTTTCATTGGGCTTCTTTTATTATTGTGGCCCTCTAACTTTTTATAGACTTTGGTTTAAACCGAACAGTGATGTTTAGTGTACATCTCCCCAAAAACCAAACATCGGTGAATACAATGAAGTTTGGGTATGAATATTAACTAGCTCTTTGCCCAGTTACATTGTAATAAGTATCATCATCATCAATTAAAATAAATTAAAACCTGACTGAAAAATACAACTGGGAATATAGTTGCAATTTAGTTTTTATTTAGAACTTCTTTATCTGTTCACACCAAGCCCATCTAAATAAAAAAATATTCCGTGCAGGAAGCTACTTTAGTTAAGGGCAAATATTTCACAGTTCACAATGCATATCAATATCAGCTTTCTTGTTATATTTCTTGTTTTGGTACTGCAGATGTTAGGTTACTGCCATTGTGCCAATGGCCTAAGACTGATTTTAAAATTTGATCTTAACCAGAACTCAAAGACAGAAAATTACTGAAAACAGAGGGTCTGCACTGTGTGGGGAGAGAAGATCACTGAGTTCACAGAGGTCAAATCTAATTGTTCCACTCATGTTGCACCAAAATGAAACTAGGTGTTGCGAGCGCAGCTAGCCCTAATTAACTCCCATTACCCAATTACCACACCACACCCCCTTCCCTCACTACTCAGAGCAATGGCACTGTGGCTAAGGATCTGCACCTATCGCTGGAAGGTTGCTGGTTCAAAACCCGCAGCTGGCAGAGGAATCCTACACTGTTGGGCCCCTGAGCAAGGCCCTTAACCCCAACTGCTCCAGGGGTGCTGTACAATGGCTGACCCTGCGCTATGACCACAAGCTTCTCTCCCTGTCTGTGTCTCATGGAGAGCAAGCTGGGGTATGGGAAAAGATGAATTCCTAATGCAAGAAATTGTATATGGCTAATAAAGTGATCTTATCTTACTTAAACCATCTGCTCACCTTGTTCACGGCTCGGTATTAGGAATCGTTCTGCCTCCTGAGCTCTCGTTACTTATAACCTTTGACATCTTGCGTTCTCGGACCTCGCGTATTGGACCCCTTTCCAGCTTGTACCTTTTGACCACTCTTTCGTCTCGTCCTTCTCGGATTCGTTAGCCTAGCTCTCCTCTCTTGACTCAACGACGGCTGGACCGATCGACTACTCTCCTGCCTCACCCTTCTCTGACTTGGTCATCCCGGACTCCATCAGAGACCTGCACAGGGTTCGTTATACTCGCCGTAACACTAGGGTTTCAAGGATTTTGTTTTGTCTTACCCAACTCCTGATTCTGGATCTCAAGATGTTTGTTCTGCATGCATTGCCTTTCCAGCTGTAACCTCAGATCCCGAAGCTGTGCCTCCATGGCTCCGAATCTGTAATCGAACATTGCTGAGCATCAGAAGACTCTCATTAACATTGGCAATTCCTGTGGTTCATTAATATTGAAAGAATACCAAATCAACAGGGGGTCTTTGAATTTGGAACATAGAGATTTCAGGCTCCTTCATGTCTTTGGAACCTATAATGTATGCTATAAATTACAATAAAAGAGATGAGAGATTTTCTGGCCTGCTTTATGTGGAAAAGGTGTTTCCATTCTGTGTAAGTAGGCTTCCAAACGTTGCAAAGAGGCCATTAGGCATTCTCTAAAATGTTTTCACCTGAAATCACACTAGGCAATCCAGTTAATATTGCTAATCCAGATATATGAAGCCAATGGTAAGAGTCTCCAATGAATATTGATCTTTTTTTTCTTAAGTAGTAGATTTTGACGTAAAGTATTACTTACATTAAAGTCATACCTATGGAATAATTGCTGCAGCCACTCTTACATTAAGAACATAAGGAGAAATAAGAAAGAAAGGAAAGAGCACTTACTTTAATGGACCAAGAGACCTGAACCTGTCCAGACAATCCATCCACTAAAGAGATCAAATGTTGATTTAATGGGATTAATAAAATCCACGTGTTGTATTATTTTGTGGAAACTCAGATTTCTTACTTATCCACCAAGCTAAGGTAATTTTGCATAGTCCCACTTGTTTAGTACAGTAATGCATTTTGTGCCTCAGTCGACAGGTACAGTTCTGTGTTTCCATGTCTGTGGAAGACAGGGCTCTGATACTCACAGTATTGTAAATATCTATACATAGTTGTGAAACGTTGCATATTTTGCAATTCTGTATTATTATAAATATCTATTTATTTCACATTCATCACCAGGTTAATACTTTGTTACTTTTTGTGGGAAAAACAAAGAAAATGCATGTGACATTCAGTCCCTAACAATAGGAGTTGTAAAATGTGAGTGTGTTTATAATGACACAAAAAGCAAATGAAGTGGATACTGTACTACTGTTTATTACCAATAACCACAGTATGAATGTAAGTTGTGATTGTTTATTTTGTCATTTTTTGGTGGAAAAAGTAAAAGTAGGGGTGAGATTTTAGGAACTGGAATAAATTGTAAGTTTTCCCCATAAGAAATAATGGAAATAAGTTTTTTTTTTACAAATTTTTGTTATACGAAAGGGTTTCTGGGAATTAATTATGTCCGTAAAAAGAGGTAGAGGTGTATTTCAGTTTTTATTTATATTTTTTACTTTTAACTCTGTCCCCACACCTAACCCATTACAATATTTGCTCTCAGAGAAATAGACATAAATCTCAGTCTTAAATTTGCCATTTATATTGGTGATTGTGTCACACATAATATTGTCACTTACCTGATATTTAAATATTACTTTTATTATTTACATGATGTAAAGATGTATGAGTCAGTTCATAAGCCATAACAAAGCTATACAATTACTAGTCTTATTGTAGAAACACTCTGAGTTTGGCTCAGTATGACTCCTTGCTCTCTATGAATAATGAATATGAATGGAAACTGCTGGGAATGCAATTAGGAATATTGACACACTCCTGTCAACAGAGAAATGCCATGATACAGAGGTGTCAGAGAATACTGACATAAATCTGCAATTATAAAGTCTATTTAATTAGGTTATTAATCTTTTTTTTTTCCTTCCTTGGAAGAATATTACAATTTCTGTATAATTTAGATTTAGTAGCACTGAACATAGTATAACAACGAATGTCCTCTACAGTATTTGCCTAATACAACAAAATGTATTGAAATGAATACAATGAATTGTTGTGTTTTAAGTGGTTCTCAGTATATATTATATTGCATTTATAAAGAGTTGTGAAGATTAGTAATGTTAATAGATTTATAATTTTAGATTGCAATTTGTGAAACTGTCTTGTGCAGTACAACAGCATGACTTTTCAACATTCACAATAACTGTAATGGCCTTAACAAATGTTGCTTCAGAGCATTGTTTCAGGTCAACAGCAAACGTCTCACAGGCAGTCCATGAGAAGTTTTGTTTTTTTAAAGTTGAGCTAAACCTACACTACAAGTACAGTACCCCAATAACATTACATTTCAAAACTGGAGCTAAAAGTAAAGTTTTATCTTAAATGGAAAGGAAAGAAAATACCTTTCTGAATATAATTTTCATTATTTTCATTTTCAAAATATATTAATTTCAAAAGTAAACAGCTGTGGTCTGCTTGATATAAATGACCCATACAAATATATAAACTGGTATAATATATAACAGTACATAAAATCAAAATCTAACCAATATAAAATTGTTATAATATATACAGTTTAAAAATGCAAACCCCACACAGATAGCACTCTAGGCCTCTGAAACTAGGGCCCCAGCACAGCAAGGCAGCAATGCTAAGCACTCCACCACTGTGCCACCCACTGATTCCCTAATTGAAGCTTACTACTCTTTACAACAATAAACAATTAATTAAACTTGCTGAGATTATATTAATATTTAAACTTAATAACTTGAATATATAAGACTTAATTTGACTACATAAGAACAGGTTAATAGAATATAAATATTCATACTGTACAACTAATGTTAATAAGTATATTGTGACTTTTGTAAAATTTAACACAGCTAGAGAGGCATTTGTAAGATAGCATCTCTTTCACCAGGTGCCTTGTGCCCACAGTGAAATATTTTGAGATTTGTTATTTTAGCAGGCTGCTATTTTTTGGCCCAGAACTGAGATATCATGTGACACACGTGCAATGCTATAATCATTGTGTTTTAATTTGCTGCTGAGCTTGTGCCAATTTTGTTTGTTGACTCTGGACACTGCAGTGATACAGTGATCAGTTAGCATTACAATATTTTATTAGGAGTCAATAGCATTTACAGTATATATGTAAAAAACAGACAGCATAGATTATGTATCTGTTATGTTAAAATATATTTAGTGTTGAATAGTGTAAATGTCCACTTCAGAATACAGTAGACACTGATTGAAATATCCTTCTCTCTTAGCCCGAGTATGATCTAAAGTTCTAGGGAGCCCAGATCTGTTCTTTTTGTTTGCTTGCAGATAAGTATCAACAGTGTGGCTAGCTTCATATTTGAAAACTAAGCATTTCTTTGGTATCTCTGACAGTAAAAATCATCTTTCTGGTTTAATCAATCATTGTTGCCAAAGGGTGGTTTAAAACCACAAGTTTCTTTGGTTTAACTTTGGCTTGGGCCAGTTAAGTCCAATATTTGCCACAACAAACCATGCTGTGTTTTAGGCAAGTATCCCATCACTTGCCAAATATCACTGTAACATTGTCAAGCTAGATTTATTTACAGTATGAATGGATTACAATGCAAAATGCCATAATTTTTTCATTGTTTGCAAATGGTTTACGTGATATATATTCATCCACACAAACCTGGAGATCGATTAATTAAAGACACTAATCAAGGTGCCTGTTACTCTTAAATGAAATGTCATTTATATAATAGTTACATGAGGTAAATAGATACAAAACATTTCAGTGCTGTTTTTATTTTAAGCTGAATGATGTAAGGATATGAAAGAAATTCAAGAAAATATTTATAAATGGGTAAATGTACTAACACTGTACTTGCTCTTGTCATAGTACAAACCATGTCCCTTTTTTCCATAGATTTTTCACATTAAAAAATCACAGGATCTTTCAGGGTGTAAACAATTACATGGAAGTTTTTTTTTTATTATAACTGTCAACAAAAATACCAGATATATAAATTACTTAAAGGCATTTAATAATCATACTAATAAACATCAAACCCCTGGGTAAAGAAGGAGATAAATCAATTAAAATGTTGAATTAATTTGTTATGCACAGCTATATTTTTCAAATTATAATTGAACACTAAAACCACTTTAAAACATAATACCAAACTTCAAAGACTTTTTTGCAAATAAGTGAAAAACAATATGCTACTGATGAAACGCTTAAAAAGCAGCCTAAAAATATCAGGTGAATACATCAAAATGCTACTAACATATTTTGTAATAAAAAAGAAAGAATCATTCTTTAGAATTTTGATATCATTTGCCATGTTATTTTCTTCAAATTATATTTTAACATAAAAGAACATTTACTCATTAGCAAAGAATTATTTCATCCTTTCTGTGCTATGAAAGAGTACTCATGCTTAGCTGCTGTCTGACTAGCTGTTCTGCCTGTACAGCACACCTTTGGACTTTAATCCAAGAAATCTATTGAGGCAAGAGTCTTAACTCACCCAGCTCAGTGGAGAGGCTTATTGTTGGGAAGAGAATCTGGGGTTTTCACACTACAGCAGAACAAAGAATCAACTGAATCCTTAGAGCTTGTGCTTCCTGGTGGACAGGTAAAGGTGTAGTTCTTGAAATCTGCTGGCAGCACAAGAAGGCAAAACAATATGTCTTACACGCACATAATCTCTCTCCCAGTGTGCCTACTGTATGTGTCCCTGAGGCTCATCCGGTCTGCTCCCTCTACCGCAGCATGCACTTGACTAAAATGAAACATTAACCAGCTTCCCTCAGGTTTGTTTCCTCCTTTAGCATGAGGTGGGAGGGGTAAGCTCTTTCTGCTGCCTTTGATCTGGGTTCCTCACCTTAGTGGTATTCTTGTGAAGGTGGGAGCCAGACACATAAGGTAATGCACAAGGTGGAGTTCCCCTTTTAGGACATAGGCCAAATTTTGACCTCACCATTGAGATGAATGTGAATTGCATTGTGACAGTCTGAAAATAATATAAATACATACATTATATATACAGTATAGACGCTGTGTTAATCTTCAAAATGAACCTGAATGATTATGAAGGAATTAAGTCAAAGTAGAAATCCCAGGGGTGATGCTTTCAAATCTCAGTATGTTTATTTATCTCCTACTTTATCCAATACAGGGTCGCAGGGGAGCTGGAACGAATCCCAGCAAACAATAGCCACAAGGCAGGATCCACCCTAGACAGGATGCCAATTCATCATAGGGCAAACAAACATGCACATGCTCACACAAGGACCAACTTTCCCAGCAAACAACTAACCTACCAGTATGTCATTGGACTTGAGGAGAAAATTGGGCTGAAGAAAAAATAAAAACTGAAATATGTTGCTTGCACAAGTATTCAAAGAGGTCTTGGTGGACAACTTTGAAGGGAATTCCAGTCTTTTCGGATACATCTCTACCAACGTTCTTCACTGGGATGGTGCAGTCATTGCCCATTCTTCTTTGCAAACTTGCTCTGTCTTTGTCAGATTGATTGGGGATCGTGAATGGACAGCAATTTTCAAGTCTTGACACTCCAGAGCATTCCCTTTCTTATCAAGCCCATTGACCCATTTTCTTCCAAGAGGTGAATTTTTGGCCTACTTTTAAGTCTCTAGCAGGCTAAAGAAGGTTATGCTTTTTAACGTTTGCCTGTACTTTGCTCCACCTATTTCCCTGTCAATTTTGACAAACTTCTTAGCTGCTGCAAGTGAGAAGCAGCCTCATAACATAATGCTGCCAACAACATGCACTATGTTGGGTTTGCTCAAGACATCATGATTTGCATGCAGACATAAAAGTTACAATTTTGTTTCCACATAACCTTTTATGACATGTTTGCAGTATCGCCTAAATGTTTAGTACAAATTCCAAGATTGAGATGGGGTTTATTTTTCAATTCTGGGGTGTTAACTCATGGACATTTTCTTTCTTGTTATTCATTGAAGTCTGTTAGCTGTCACTACAAGGAGTATCCCAAAGAGAGTTTTCTTCTTGCCTGTTTGGTTCCTTGATTTTGGAGGGACAGTTTGATACAGTATAGGCAGTCTAGCTGCTGGTTGGTACAGTACTTGCTGGTTAAGATGCTTCTGTCTCTGTGCCTTTTTCTGGTTTTATCACCGAGATGTTTTAAAAACATGCTGAAATCATGTCCACGCTTATTATTGCACACAGAAGCCATTCAACTAATCGTGTGATTTGTCATACAAAGTTATTTGAGTATGTGAACTAATTTAGGTTTCCGAAAGCATAGGCATGGAATCAATTTGTTTTTGATTTTACATTGCAGTATGTTTTTGGCTTTTCTTATTTCACCCATACAAGTGATCAGCTTGAATCAGTGAAGTTTTGATTAAACATATTCACTTAAAATGTGCAGAAATGTTTTGTAATTCCACTAAATGTGACATAATTTAAAGGGAGTGAAAACACCTGTATGTCACTGTATATCCTGACAGGTTTTAAAAATGCTAAAAATAATATTGCCCATCCATTTGTCATCACTAAAAAGATGTTTTTGAAATACTCCATTGCTATATTTTAAATTGGAAGATTAGGATTGTCAAAGACCATTTTATATCTATCAGTTGCTTAGTCAATTAAATCGTTTTTTTTCTCAGGAATCCTACCAGCACCTGGCACAGGTGAGTAATTACAAATGTTAAAATATTGCATTTTTAATCTCTCTCAGTAGTGCCCTCTAAAATGATTAACATTGCTGATCAAATAAAAGCTGAATAATGCTGAATAATGTTCTTTGCTTAAAAACAGTTCTTTAAAATACCTTTAAAATGTTATACAATAATCTTAATAGCACTGCCCAAAGAAATTGTTATAAAGTATAAGAGATTTCAGTGAACTAAGAGTGGGGGTCACATTTACTGTATTCACACCACTGTAATTAGTATATTGTCAGTTCTTCTTGGCAGGAATTCTAGATGCCTCCTGTAGTGTGTTATTTATTTCTGGCACTTCAGATGTGAAAATTATAAACTCCATTACATGGATGAGGACAAGAAGGCTTGGCAAATCATACCTGCACAGATGTGACAGTGTTTCTAAATAAAACCTTTCCCATATTCTTATCCCTCAACATCTGGAAGTCAATGACTACTTGCCTGTAGTCTTCGATAAGCTCTCTGACTTAAATTGTGATGATGCATGCAACTACAGAATATTTTATGTGCATCACCTTATTTACGCAGTATTTTATTTAAAGGACAGGTTAGGGTGTGCAAAAATGTCACCCACTGTTTTTCTGGAATTCAAATATTGATGACATGCATGACTTTGTTCTGCGCAATGCTATTTTGATTAAAGTCTAACATTATTAGAAGTTTTGTGACAAATTATCCAAACCATAAGTAATTCTACTGTTTTTGTTTCTTTTTCATCAGAAAATCGGGAGGGTACTATAAGCCTGTATGAAGACAGAGAAAAGGTAGACATATATATAGATAGATATGGTGGACATGGCAATTCAACCACTTACCAAGTTTCTACAAAACGATATGTACTCTTTGCCCAAGGATATTAGAGAGTCACCTTCTCTAAACTCCTTCAAATCCAGGCTCAAAACCTTCTTCTTCAGAAAAGCCTTTACTTAACTGGTTCCATTCTTCACCCCTCTGCTCTTCTTAATACCACCTTCCACGGTCTCCTCTATTGTTATAATTATAATTGTGTCCTATCTTGTGAAATCTTCTTATTTATTGTTATTGTCATCCTGTAAAGCGCTTTGAGAAGCCACCTTTAAAGGCGCTATATAAAATAAAGTTTATTTTTATTATTATTATTATTATTATTATTATTATTATTATTACAGGAATATTTTTTTGCCTTTCAGGACTCAGAGACAGAATAATTTCTGTCGCTTTTCTCTCCCGACCCTTTATCAACTTGATGGCTTTGCACCTGGGTAACACCAGGAAATAAGATTATATAGGTAGCATACACAACATAGTTGGGAATGCTGCTTTTGGTGCATTTACTGTAATGAAAACCGCAATAATGTCAAGTGCCTCTTTAGTCAGTGCAGGGGCTTGTTTAAATGCTAATCAGCCAACAGTGATTAAAGGAAAAGATAATAGCTGACCTTTGCTCCTTCAAGCTGCTCCCTTCTCCTAATCCTCTTTATTCTCTAAGATCCTCATAAAACTTTTAGGGCTGCTTTAATTACCCCTTGATATCACCAGATTCCCTGGGCACTAAGCAGGAAGCAGGCAGAACTCCCTTGCAGACATGCACCAGCAGAAGGAAGAAGCTGGCTTTGTACAGGGCTGAAAAAAATCATTTCACAGGCTCTGGCCCCAAGGATGACAATGATTTTTATAAGAAACAATAGTACCTGTCCAGTCATCATCACTGAAAACAAGGTATTGAATTACTCCAATGCTGTATTCTAATAGTTCCCTACAGAGAGAAGAATAAACAAGCTGGCTTGGTAAATGTTCATGGGTTCAAACCTCGATTGCGGTGGTAAAAAAAGAAAGCAAAAAAAAACAATTAATCTTGTAATTGTATAGTTTAACGTGTGAAACGTGAAGGAGCTCAATCCAGGGATACTTTGATAAAATCATATCACTAAGTACATGCTCTTGTCACAGAATTTGTACAATACACAATCCCAAGATTCAAATGTTCAAAATTATTAAAGCTACAGTATATAACAAAGATTTACTTTATATAGTACTGTACAGGATAGAAATATAAAAACCTAAATGTTTATATAAGCACTTGAAGTATTATCTTAAATACTGTATATTTGAAAAAAGAAGCTGAATTTGCTGTGGCAAATCACTAATCTCTGATGTACTGTAGGAAGAGTAAAATGTAACACATTTAGTATAGAGTCCCATTAAATCTTTTTTACAAAATCACTTAAATACTGTTTACATAGCCCTCCAGTAAAATAGTCTTTGAGCTGAAAAAAGGGTCATGTGGACTCGTGAAATAGTGTCTCACTTTTGCTTTCTCTCCATATTTAAAGAAATGGCTACTACACTCAATGAGAAAATGACTGAATATGGAGTGTGGATAAAGAGGTAGATTTACATATCATTTCCTGCAGCAGATCACTTCCAATTTAATATTTATATATTCCTCTGAGGTCTAGATAATCCATTGCTATAAGTAGCTGTCTCTGAATGATTCAATACCTTAGCTGGAGATTATTTTCTCAGATTCTACTCCTGCCATTAACAAGATGCAATTTTGCATCTTCCACATAAAGTACTTGACAGTTTTCCTGAAAGGTGGTCCTTAAGAACTCGCAAATTTGTAGCAGCTTCAGAGAAAAGGGAAAGTGGAGAGGTCACAATAAAGGCTTTGGAACAAGTGTTGGAACTCACTGGCTGAGTCAAAATGTCAGAAAAAAATGTTTAGTTTGCAAATAAAATGAGACATTTAACAATAAAGATAGAGGCACACCGAAGCAACATTTTTAATGAAGTACAATTTGCCTTCACAATCAGCTGTTAAACAAAAGAGAACTTTTTACAAAATTAATGGAATACTGTTTGCAAAACAAAGGCTGCAAAATGAAATCTGTTTTAATTACTTATTATTAAAGTAATACATCAGAATAACTTCCATAATCACAATTTATTACTATCCTTCATGTATTATCTACAATTGCTTTAAAGACAGGGGCCCCAGAAGAAAACAAAATGTTGGGCACTGTTCTCAATGTCATTTCTTAGGAGAATGTGTTCTGCAATTGAATCTGAATCTAGGATAAATGCAGTATTCTAATGTATTCTCCATTGCACAGCAGAAAAAAGAGTAATTTCAGAGAAGTAATTCAACTGCCAGTGGCAGACAGAATAACAATCTTCAATGATTTTTCTTCAGTCTTCTGGATGGCCTAAATCCCCTCTTCTCATTTACAACATTTGCATTTTCATGGTCTAGCACAAAATTTCTTTCCAAAAGTATATCAGTGGGTTAACAGAAAAAATCTAAATTGAGCTTGTTTTATTGAGCTGTTTATACATTGTTCCATTCTTTTAACCAATCATATTGCAATGAACATGTCTTAAAGGGTTAACACTATTCTTAGTATTCCTAATATATGTTTTTGAAAATTATGCAACCCTCATTTACTAAATCCTTGTAATAATAGTTTTGTAATCTTGTTTATCTTAACATTATGTATCAATAATTGAAATTAAAGTGATGATAATGTGAAAAAAGTAAGCAATACTACATGACTAAAGGTTATGGCTAAATCAAAGCAATAACAATATTGCTCAAATGCACATCTGTGGGCTAGTGCAAGGTTTCTACCCAATCCAATTGCAGGGAATTTACTTCATGAAATGCAAAATGATTTCTATGACATGTTTGAAAACCATGAGCAGGAAATTATATTTTTAATTACGGCATAAATTACAGCAATTCTCCTTCAAAATTCCTTTGAAACATTTTGGGAACAGTGCCCACCGTCATTTTATATTCAGATACATACAGTATCTGTTGTACTACTAATGCCCACTGAGTAACATTTACATACAAAGATGAGTTCTATAGTACTAAGCAGCAGAAACATAATAAAATGTTTAAGACCGACTTCATTTGTTCCCTATGGTATGCCCAACGTGTGTGCAATTGTGTTGAAAAACATTTTTTCCCTTATTAAAAGTGATTAAAAATCAACAGCTAAAACACACAATTTTTAAAAAAAAAACCTAGGAAAAGATTCATGCGAACTGAAATCCAAAAAGCTAAGGCACGTTTTTCTCGTATGGACTGAACTACTGTGTAACATAAAAGTCGATATACAAAACACAGACAGCTCTAAGCTGTGACGAATTCATTAACTTCCACAGGGTGGCAGTACATCTACTGTGCGGAGACCTGTGTTACACAATTCCTCGGTCCCGATTAGAAGTCCGATACCTGACCCGAGCCGAGTATCTGGTTTCAAGACGGTTTTTCACGTACAACGTCGGACTCGGGCCGGGTTCGTTTTTTTTTTTACAATAAGTAAAAATTTGTTTTTATTTTATGTAAATTTATTTTTATTAGAAGAATTTCGTAACTCATTTTGCGCGCTCGTTCTCTCTCTCGTATGTGCGTAATACTAACAGAGCAAAACCCAGTAATGTTTTTTTCATTTTGAAATGTGCTGGATATTCACTTTGCTTATAGCGCTAGCTTTTTTTAGTAGGCCTATTACAGTTATCAGCTGTTCCCCACTTTAAAAAGTATTGCAGATTGATAAAATACCAGTTTTGCCTCAGTGCACGGCATTTTCTATCAACCCAAGCGCATAGCAGTCGAGCAAAGCACAGTAAAACGGCGCCTGTGAGAATCCGTCTCCGTGCGTGCATGTGTCTCTACTGGCTCCGAGAGGAAAAGAAAGTGACCGATTTCAGGGTCAGGTCTCGGGTACGGGCCGGGTTCGGGCTTCAATTTCATGCCCGTGCAGACCTCTAGTCCTGATACAAAAAAACAGTGCTTCTCAAACCGAGTCCTGGCAACACAACTACATTTATATTGTGAAAAAAATGTTGTAAAATTAATATAATGAATTATATAACTTAATTTCTGGCATAGTTTACCAAAAAATATTTTTGGTAAACTGGGCCAGTTTGCACACAACTTTCCAGCCTTCATTTAGGACTCATAATGTGATTTAAATTTAATCCCATTAAAAGGTTAAAATAATAAAAAGATCTGTCACTAGCACCTAGACTGCTAGTGCTGGATGTGTAACATGTTATCATCACATGCTGGGATTTCAGGCCATTTTGCTGCAGATTCATCTTTCATTATCATCATTACACGGAAAAAAAGTTTATTTGCTAGTCTTGAAAGTTAATTCTACATGAACACACTCCCATTCCTATAGATCCAAAAATACAAAGCAGAAGATGGCACGGTTTCAAACAACTACCAGCTGAAGTGTGTTTTTAACTAGGCTTGTGATTGAAGTTGCCAATTTAAAATACATCCAAAGTGAAACAGCACAGATTGTTTTCCCTACCATATACATATTTTTGTAAAAGTGGTAAGAATTCTGTGGAGTCTATGCATACAGTACTGTATATTAAACAATATACATGCCATATATTATGCATTACGTAGGTTAGAGTGCTACCCATTTTAAACCAAACTAGTTTTGAACTAGCACTGTCTGTAAGGAGTTGTCTGCATGTAACGTACTTCTACATTGCATCATAACATAACTAAAATCTGAAGTATTGTTAAGCAATTCATATTCAACACGTACAGGAAGACAACAAAAATCACTGTTCTGTACTCAATGAGAGAATAGGGGAGGATAAAACAGGAAAAAAGGAAATTCAGAAACTGTTTTTAATATTATGTTTTGTTTTCCCTCGATAGTTCTGAAGTTTTGTCCTTCATTGTGTTGTCCAATTCTTATTCCTTTTTCTTTTGTTCACCCCCAAAAATTTGCTCCCCTACCATCTAAGAATATGCCACTTCAACTGAATTTACTACTCTTTTCACCTTAAAGACAGTATAATCTCACTAGATAACATGCAACTCAAGCATAACAAGCGTCGTGCATCTTCAAGACGTAGTTCATATATTTTCCTTTCATGTATAATTTTAAATGCATTGGCATTTGTATTTCAATTGCTTATTTTTTAAATGATGGAATTTGCTCAGTAACCTTAATCACAGAGATCAGAGATCAGCAATGCTTCTAGAACAGCAGCAGCAAAGCTGTTCTGTGATTTTTTTTTCCTCAAACAGACAAAATCTGAAGAGCTAGGATATTAAAAAGAAAATGAACCCAGCCGCCAGCCTACATGGCCACATTTCCAAAGCAGCACCATTACCTGAAATACCAATCAAATGATTGTGAATGATCTGATTAATATACAGTAGTTCATAAAAAAATAAATATTCACAGATGTTACTCACATAACTTCTAAAAAAGTTTCAAAGATAGTTCATGCTGTAATACTGTACATTCAGTTAAAACATAAAAAATCTCAGTTACATCCTTCAAAGCATGTGCCAAACATTAGTTGTCACTAGCACTGGTTACCAGAATACTACACTGTATTGGTGATATTTACACATTTTTTATTCACAATAATGTCTTCATTTTATTAGGGTAAAGAATGCATACTTATTCTGACCTATTTTGGGGGAGAACGGTTAGCACCGTGTTAATCCATTAAAAATGGCAAATTTCAAGAAGTCTGAAAAATGCCAAAGACTGAACATTCATTGCATCTACCTAAACCTTTTACAACAATGTACATTTGAAATATTTGTTTAGTTGAAACAGGAAAGGTGTTCCAACCACCCTCGAGGGATTCTTGACTATTGTCTTGCCCTTCTGTCAGCACAAACACTCTTCAAACTACACCCTTCATGTGGAGAGAAAACAACTAATGCCTTGCACTTAGCAATGTGTGCACTTAGCAATTAACTGAACATTCTTCTTTCTGCTTTTGATTTAATTCAAAAGATGTCAGCCCATCGGCTTTCAAATTTAGAATAAAGGCAACCCGTTATATTTTAAGGTACACTAGAATAATTAGAAATTAATTTGAAAAATATTCAGAACAGATGGAATGACAAGCATTTTCATAGACCTTATTTCAAATTCACCACATTCTTTCAACAAGTATGAATTAGAGAAGCCATGGACCTCATTACTTGCTGCAATCTCCGTTCTGTCTACGAGTTTACAAAATACAAAGCATTTTTAGTCAGTATAAACTTAGAATGCTTTCTTTGTGTTGATTACATTTTTTTTTGCTAGTGATGCATTTAACACGAATAGAAATAATCACAGCACTTTCTGTCAAAGAAGTAAAAAAAAAAAAGAAATCTGTTCAGGTACTAGGACTGCTAAGGGGACAGAATCAATCAGTGGGATCATTCTCGATCCTTTTACACGCACCCCTCAAGTCCCCAGGGTTTTCAAAAACCGCCTGCACAAACTGACCAAACAGCCGGTCCATGTAGCTTTCTCCTCTCGGGAACAAGCCCTCTAGAAATCCGATGTGGCCACCACGGGCTGTGACCAGGAGGGCGACGTTTGGTAACCGCTGGGCCTGCTCCACTGGGATAGCTGAAGGAAGAGAATTTACACAGCTGTCATAACCCATCTCTATTAAAGGGCAGGACAGTCACAAAAAAAACGCTCAAACAGGAATTTAAATCTGCAGAATACATACAGTAGATGCAACAAAGACTATACTAGTACAGTACGTTACCACTTTGGTTGAGAATTTTATTGCTCCAAGCCCATGTGTTACCATTTTATAATGATACAGTTCAAAATGGAAACCACCATAGTACAGTTTTGTTTTCCTTTTCCAAAGCAGCCATCCTTTTCAACACCTGAAATATTATCCTTTTCTAAATACTGATCCGAGTGTAAGATAATGTTGGTGTTTAATCTCAGATAGTATTTAAATAATGAAGCAGACATGTCCGATGTTTGCATTACACAAGACAAGTGTGTAGGCCATCTTACTGTGCTCTGGGGAGAAGGGGTCGTCTGCTGCATTAAGGCACAACACGGGGATGGCAGTGTGGGCCAGCTTGTGACAGGGACTGGCATCCCTGTAGTAATCTCGGCATGTCTTGTAGCCAAACATAACAGTGGTGTACCTCTCATCAAATTCACGGATAGTCCGAGACTAGAAAAGAAAAGCAGATGCAGTTTAATTGCAAATGTCCTCCATTCCAGCTTTCTGCTTCCTTTGTCCATTTGGATAAAATGTGCTTGTAAATTCTGTTGGAATACCTGCAGTACATGGTCCACATCAACCACGGACTCCAGGATCTTCCTGTGCCTACAGACCAAACAGGGATCACAGCAATGTCAGACATGCCCGAGAGCTCTCAGTAATAAAAGGCGACTCCCATGTATTCACGGCAGGGCTACCTGTTGACGGCTCGGCACAGGTTGGCAGCGAGGTGCCAGTTGAACAGCACCTTGTTGAGTGGTCTCTCCAGGGAAGCGCAGGACTCCAGAGTGTCCCAGCTCACAGACATGGTGAGACCTGCCAGCAGGCCAGCCTCACTGCCCTTCCGTGCCAGATAATTCAGCAGGAGCATCCTGAGGGACAAGGAAAACCTTTCATTTTCATATAGTGGACTTCTTTAGACACGTTTCAAGAGATACAGAACATGCCCAACAACATAATATTTCTTAAATGTTTTTTTTTTTAATCAAACTGGTTTCTCTGGAAAATTATTACACGGTGGGTGGCACCCAGTCACTTGAACGATCCAGAGAGACCCTATAAGGGCAGTGACAGAGAAGGAGAAGGGATGGAAAGCAAAGAACGATGGACTCTGTCCTTTTACCACCAATAAAACGATGCCAGTGATGAAAGTTAAGGGTCTTATCAACCCAACCTTCAAGTTTTAATATCCTCTGAAAACTTTCAAAAGCTGAAGCATTTTACCTAGTCCATGCGCAATGCGAAAATTGAATGGCCCGACATGGTTATTAATTACAATGTGGCGTGCCTTCAATAAATCATCTTTGTCAAGGAGTGTCTCCTCCGTAGCAGACCAGTAAGTGGCATTTGTTGGAGTCAGAGTTAGGGCGGAAGTCCAAATGAACAAAGTGAAACAAATTCATGAGTTGTTCCTGAAGAGATATGCAAAACAGAGTGAACCTGGCCTCTATCTCACAAGACGCCTGAATAGGTAGCTGCATCAGCATGCACAGGCTGCAAAAGAACAGGTAAATGTTTATTCCGTGCTGAAAGGAAATGAAACACAATGTTCTGAAGAAAGCTCAAACAGCTGAAACATCGTGCTTCGCTTTTCAGCATGGAATAAACCTTTACCTGTTTACTATCTCACAATACTTATAAACTATACTGAAATTAAAAAAACAACAAATCTTACCCTCCCAGTGAAACACCAGCTCCCATCAAGGGAGCCTTTGGATAAAGGTCCTTAATGTGAGTAACCACACACTCCAGATCTGAAGTGTCAGCTGCAGAGAATGTCTGTGGAGTCTAGAGAGGAAGATAAAGGACTGCCTTGAGAGATGAACAGGTGATTGCTCAGTGACTATCGTAGACGGTTACCGAGAATCCTCAACCGTTTTGTTGGAAAACGAAATCTGAGTTACAATGACATACAGTATAACTGCGTGTGTTGTTTCAGTTTAAGATTTTCATGTGTTTAAAGTACAAGAATAAGTTCTGCACTCTAATGTCCTAACCATTTCTTTGTGAAAAACAGTTACAAAACTCTGTTTAACCGAGCTTCCCAGCAAAAACAATCACACACCTGCTTCAAGTTAGAAACAACTTGTTCAGATACAGAAAATCCTGATAAAGGTGAAGGTTATTCACAAAACTAATATGTCCACATTACAATGCCACAATGACTGTTTTACCTTATTCATACAACTTTTGTCAGGAAAAATTACATGGGAATACAAGGGAATATCATACTGGAAAATTCTAAGTAATGGAAAATTACTGTCAAAGCAAATAATAAAAAACTATGTAAACAAGAGTCTGCTTTATTACTGAGCTGATAGTAATGTAGCTTGTGCTAATGGCTTGAATTCTAATTAATTTCAGAGAAAAGGCAAAGAAAGACAAAATTCTCCACTCAAATATCATTATTCTAAGAGAGGAGCTTATGTTTTTTTTGCATAAGCAATGCTAAGTAGGTCACAAACAGACAGCATATTAAATTATTTAAAATGTGAGTGTCATGGGTGTTAATTTGAAGGCTTCATAATTATACTTGTTCATTATAAGGGGATAAACAGTAGGCAACTACTTATCTTCAAATTTTCTTTACGGCATACACAACTAAAAATAGTGTGTAAAAGCAATTACAAGTACACCCTGTTCATTATTATTTCATAATACAAAATCATTTTTTTAAGCCATGGGAACTTTCTCCAGAATTCAAGTATATGTCAAATATTCAGTATTTCAATTATAACATACAAAGGTTACAAAATATGAAGAAGTCATTTAGTCCATATGGCCTGTCTGGTTACTAGCCTATATTTTTATTAGTTATAATAAGTTAGTGGGTATCAGCTTCAACAGCAAGGTTTGTAGCTTGTTTCTATACTCTCAAAGGCCTCTGTGTCAAGAAGAACAAGAAAATATTTGTATTTATTTTCTTTGTTTCATTTCTGTTATGATAGTTAACGGAATAACTGATGCTACACAAAAACATATTATTGTATGGTATCAGGCAGCCTTTCAACACCACATCAGAGTCACACCTCAATGTTACAACAGGTACTTTATACAATTCACCCAAACACTTCAAGGGGCCACCATTACAGCATACAGTCATGGAGTCTCAATATTTGAAGTGCAATTCTGTCAGCTTTACTTTCCTATAGTGAGACCAGACACCTTTAAATCACCACAAACACTAGACTCTATCCTGTTGTTGCTGGGATAGGCTCTGGCTCCCCCGCGACCCTGACTTGGATGAAGCAGTTAGAAAATGGATGGATAATAATGTGCTTTTTGTAAGAAATCGGAACACATCTGGATTATTAAGATAAGTTTACAATGACAGAAATATCAATTAACAATGTCAGAAAAAATAGAAATGTGCATTATTTATTGGAATGGTTATAGGGCCTCCAGGTACTTTACTTTAGGTCTGGAAACCTGGAGGCCCTATTATCAAGACACAGTGTTGATTTCACTCACCAGTAAGTCCTCACCCCCGAAGCCTCTGTTGTTAAACACCACAGTTCTAGAGAGAGTGCAATGTAAAGGTAAGAGAAGATTCCACATACCAACCATAAACCTATGCCCTGTGTGCACCAAAGAGCAAACCAAGAAGCAGCCCCAAAATAGGAGAGAAAAGCTTATGAACCCATTTTGAAAGAAAGAATGAACTGGTAAGAATAACCCCAAAGCAATATGTTTATAATCATCGTATCCCTTAATACAGCACTTGTTCAAGGGTTTGGAAACAATGTACAAATATGCTGAAGAAAAACTACATAACTACAGATGTGCATTCTGCCTCAGATATAATCTCTGGGTACTTGGTATCTCTGAATACATAAACATCTTAATCTAAATTTCAGAAATAGGGATGAAATTGGTGGTTTCTATTCACTATGAATTTTGGATTACTTATATCTTTTCAAACCTTGTCATGGTAGCTTTCTCTACTTTAAAAATGTATGAAAGATGTTAGTGAGAAATGAGTCCTATAAATGTATTGGTCACCCACAAAGTGCTCCTTTACAATTTATAAGGGGCTGTGTGACGGCTCAAATTGAGGTCATCCCTGAATTACTTTTGAAAGTAACTCCTGCTCAAAGAAACCAACATACGGAGGATTTAATACACAATTACCCCATACAGTGTGTGAAGAAACACACCGAGGTGTGGAAAAAGCACAGCACCTGAAATATAGGCAGGTGGGAGGAGTCTGCCTACACTTTCTCATTCTCTGGTGTACATATCTGTGAACCGAGATGTGAAAAACAACTGGCCATTTAAAATAAATCAGGGGAGTACAGAGAACAGTAATTGGTGACTCTAAATTCAAAATAAAGGCCTACATAATGTACTCATAAAAGTTGAAATGCCCCATCACAAGATTATTTACTGTATATTAAAGCTTCTGAGGTTAAACCGTTTTTGTCAGTCTTTTGGTGCATTAATATTATGCAAAAACCTTTGGAACACAACATTTTTGTTCTTAGAATGTCAGGGCATAGTGAATAAAAGAGATTAAGTACTCTTGCATGAATGCTGTTCACAAGTGCTATGCTACAGTTTCTATGCATGTCAAGCAATCACGCCACTGTCACACCTTTACTTTTAAACTAAGAAACATTTTTATTAACAAGACAAGAGAGACCAAATGAGATCTTTAAACCACAGGAATAGATTTGTGTCAACGAAAAGATACTAATTCAACTACAACTGGATCTATCATGAGTACCAATATCACTTTTTGCACAAGTTATTAGGGTAATAAAATAAGAATTTTGTATATTGCACTAATTCACTTTATCAGTGAGATACCTGATAAGGTGATTTACCTGGTTTAATGTCATGTCTGCTGATAATAAAATACAAGCATGGGAAGGAAGAAAGGAACACTACTATGGGACATTTGTGAGCAGTATTTCTCAGCTGCTGAGCCTTCAGACATTAATGACTACACTGCAAAATGTTGGAATGTTCACATAAGAGAAAAATAGAAAATTAATTAATTAAATATTATTTTATATATATATAAGTTTTGTGGAATAGCTAAGTGTTGTGTTGCATGTTCAGTGCATACACACAAGACAGAAGCCACACTCTTAAGACTTTTACTAGCACTTCCACTACAGGACATACTGTTTTATCATGTTGACGAACATGAAAAACTGGAAATGTCTGAGACCACTTGAGAAATATGCCTTGTGCTTTATTGTCATTAATTCCTGCCATAACATGCACTATCAAATGCGCAAATTCAGATTAAACACTGAAATAAGTTTTGTTTAGAACAAATAATACTGTGCACTGGGAGATGTACATGTTTGTGGGGGAGGGGAGCAGTGTGCACATTTCGAAAAAAATCAAACTTTTGCTGAGGGATGAAATAGATTGAGAAACACTGCTAGAGACTAAACCAAGCCTGCGCACCACTCCTTGCATCTGGAGTGCTTACAGACAGCAAGTTCTAGACTGATAAACATTTACCACCAGACACAGTCCGTCAATGATAGGTCACACTCAGGGACACCATGAGTTACAGTACCCTGGCAAAATCAACACAATATTAAACTCTGTTTTGCTGACTGCTTTTTGCACTACAGATTATACTGCACCTGATAATTATCTACAACAAAACTGGGAGGAGAGCCATTACAATGACTCGATTTAGGCCGTAGTCTCACCTGTAACCCCGGCGTGTGGCCTGACTCACTGCATGAAGGATGTACGTCTGCCGGCTGTTCCCAGTCAGGCCTGGAAGAATTAGCACTGTGGGCCTCAGACCACAGTCTGGGAAGACAGCACTCTCCAGGTTGTCAACCCAGTCCAAAGAGATCTGACCACCATCCACTGTCCGGATCAGCTCACTGGAGACAAAACAACAGAAATCTTTAGATACAGTGACTAAGGTCCCACACACCAGTGACATGTGGTGCCCATTCAACTAAGTCATGTCAGAATAACTTGCTATTGTATTTTCAAATACATAATC